TTATCTGGAAAATGTACTCATCAGCTTAGTTTCTCCTAACTTTCTAGTTGATGTCAAATAAATAATGTGTTCCTGTTTCATTGTCAACTTAAACTGCTATAGACAGAGCTTCTGTATCTCCAAGATCTTTTGTAAAACAGGTGACACTTAAATTAGTTAGGATTTATTGTAGGTTAAAACCACAATTAGGTACTACTTCACCCACTCCAGAAATGCAAGGACTAAAAAGCTGAAAGTTTGGTCAGAGAATGTAGAACAACTAGAGCTCTCATATATCTTGCTAATGGGAGTTTCAATTAGCGTGTGTATATCCTCTTTGGAAAATTTTTTGGCAGTATCTACTGAAACTGAACACACGCATCGTCTGTGTCCCCGGATGTATACCCAACAGAAATGAGTGCTTGTATCCACCAAAAGACAGCCACAGTAATGGTCATAGTGGCTTTATTCTTTTTTTTTTTTTTTTTTTTTTTTGAGACAGAGTTTGCTCTGTCACCCAGGCTGGAGTGCAGTGGTGTGATCTTGGCTCACTGCAACCTCTGTCTCCCGGGTTCCAGTGATCCTCATGCCTCAGCCTCCCAAGTAGCTGGGACTACAGGCATGCGCCACCATACTCGGCTAATTGTTTGTATTTTTTGTATAGACAGGGTTTAGCTCTATTGGCCAGAGTGGTCTCAAACTCCTGACCTCAGGTGATCCACTCACCTCGGCCTCCCAAAATGCTGGGATTACAGGTATGAGCCACTGAGCCTGCCCAGTGGCTTTATTATTAATAGCCAAAAACCAGAAACAATTCAAATGTCCATCAGTGGAAGAATTAATGCATAAATTGTGGTATTCATCTGGTGGACTACTACATGGCTGTGAGAAAGAGCGAATCACTGCCACACCAGTGACACGGGTGAATGTCGCAGACCAAATGACAAAGGATAAAAAGCCTGACTCGAATACACATCATATGATTTCATTTCCGTAACGCTCAAGAGCAGGTAATCCACCATGATAGAAGTTAGGACAGTGGTTCTCTTTTGGCATGTGCTTGAGTAATGACTGGGGAAATGAACAAGGGAGCCTTCCGGAATACTGAAAATATTTTCTGTATTGATCTAGGTAATGGTTATGAGGGTGTATAAATAAAAAAAATCTTCGGCTGTACACTTCTTTGTGCACTTTACTGTCCACTAGTTCTACACATCATCAGAACCTGGAGCTTGTGTTCAGAGTTCTTCTTTAGGGTCCCGGGAAAAGCAGGATTTTTTTGTTGTTTTTTTGTTGCCTAGTCTCCATTGCTTTTGTCAGTTCCTGCATGTATTTTTGTCTTTACACCACATCAAATGTGGTTTTAGCAAGGGATGGGAAGTGTCTTGCTCTGCGAGACTCACAACATTTTTGGAGTTGGGTTATTTCCCCTGTGTTTTGGTTAAGTATTCAGTGAAGAGGAAAGTGAAATAGGTAACTTTTATTTTAGTGTATTTTAATTTTTAATTTAATTTTTTCTTTTTTTTTAGAAACAGGATCTTGTTCTGTTGCCCAGGCTGGAGTACAGTATCACTGTCATAGCTCACTGCAGCCTCAGCCTTCTGGGTTCAAGTGATCCTCCCACCTCAGCCTTCCGAGTAGCTGGGACTACAGCCACACACCACCATACCTAGCTACTTTTTATTTTTTTATTTTTTATTTTTTTGTAAAGACAAGATCTAACTGTGTTACCCAGGCTAGTCTTGAGCTCCTGGCCTCAAGTGATCGGTCCTCCGAACTCGGCCTCTCAAAATGCTGGGATTATAGGCCAGCCCAGTAAATTTTCATCATTAAAGAAAACTCCTCACATTGACAGTTGGTACTCAGCATGCCACTGCCTCTGGAGTCCCATCTCTCCCTCTGAGATGCTGAGCGGCGCCTTGCGCCTCCCTATGGTGTTCCATTCTGCACTCGGCAGTGTTCTGATCTCTGGGAGGCAGACAGATGCAAGTGCTTTAGAAGCCTAGAGTTTGTAGGTCATTTTCCATGCCTTTGAATCCCTTTGGAAATCTGGTAAAACCTGTAGACCCCTTTTCAGAAAACATGAAATTAAATACATAGAATTACGAAGGAAAACAGTTGTATTGAAATAATTTTCAACAGGATTTTTGAAACCTAATTTATGATACAGTAATATATATTATTTTAAAATACATTAAGTAGGCTGGATGTGGTGGCTCATGCCTGTAATCCCAGCACTTTGGGAGGATGAGGTGTACGGATGACTTGAGGTCAGGAATTCGAGACCAGCCTGGCCAACATGATGAAACACCGTCTCTACTAAAAATACAAAAATTAGTCAGGTGTGGCTGGGCGCGGTGACTCACGCCTGTAATCCCAGCACTTTGGGAGTCCAAGGCGGGCGGATCACGAGGTCAGGAGATCGAGATCATCCTGGCTAACACGGTGAAACCCCATCTCTACTAAAAATACAAAAAATTAGCCGGGCGTGGTGGTGGGCACCTGTAGTCCCAGCTACTTGGGAGGCTGAGGCAGGAGAATGACGTGAACCCAGGAGGCAGAGCTTGCAGTGAGCCGAGATTAGCCTAGGTCACAGAGCGAGACTCTGTCTCAAAAAAAAAAAAAAAAAAAATTAGCTGGTGTGGTGACACACATCTGTAATCCTGTCTACTCGGGAGGCTGAGGTAGTAGAATTGCTTGAACCTCGGAAGCAGAGGTTTCAGTGAGCCGAGATCACACCACTGCACTCCAGCCTAGGCAACAAAGCGAGACTCCATCTCAGTAAAAAATAAACACATTAATTAATTAATTAAAATACATTAAATAATAAATCTAGCAGCAGGCCTCATAAATACTGTAATTTTGAAGAGTGAAGAGTATAAATAGTATTTTGAGATATCTGCAATCACTATAATGAATTTTGAAAATGTCTTTGATTTTTTTTTTTGTCAGCATGGTGACCAGGACTGTCCATTCTATAGTTTTTTTGCATGTATTCATAACTGAATGAAACACTAAATTTTAGTTAGAAGTTAGGGAAAATAAAGTTATATTTATTTTGCCCCATCCAAGTTTATACCCCCCTTTCTGTGCTGGATTCTTTTAGAACTGGCGTAGAGCATTGTTTCTCAAAGTTCAGTTTTCATCAGAACCACTTGTAAAATAGATACTGGTGCCCCATTCATAGAGATCTTAAGGAAGAAGTTTACAATGGGCCCAAGAGTGCACATTTTAACAAATTTGAGAAGCACAGAACTAAGATCTGTTGCTGCTACCTAAAAGAAACTTCTCTGTGCCACCCACGCATCTCTTGGAGGCCCCAGAGGTTTAAATGTCCTGATGACAGCTTAAGAGTTTACTCTCTAGGCGAGAGAGAAAGACGTTCATGTCAGTGTTGCTTTTAGTAGAACAAAGAAAAATAACTGATAGGCAACTGATCAAGCACAATAATGTGCAATTATATGGTAAATACATGGAGTTGTTATGATATAAATACGTATTTATTAATAATCATAGTGGGAAAATGTGATACCAAATAGGATGCATAGTATGATCTTTATATATGCAAATGAAAATTGTGAAACAATACACGAAAATGTTAATTTGAAAATACAGGTGATTTTTGTTTAATCTTTGTTTTCTAGTAAGGCTAACAAGTTTTTTTTTTTAATGTATCAAGGAAATAAAAGTTTTTTAAAAATGCAAAAAATAAAAAAAAATTTTAAAAACAGAGTTTACTCTCTAGGCTCTGTTCTAGCTTTCTAGATCCGAGGCCGTGGGACCATGATACCAACCACTGTGGAGTCTGGCTGAGGCCAGCTTCCTTGGCTGGACTCCCCCTGTGTCTGGTCAGCTGATGCCTGAGGCTGGCTGGTGGGTCATGCCATCGCTGCATGCCCTGCAGTGGCATAGTGGAAAGGCCTGAAGACTGCCAGTAGTTCATGGTTATAAAGTAAATAACTGTTGATACTGAATCATGCAAAAATCCTACAAGGAACAAAGTCCAATGATATGCTTTCACCAAAAGGTCAAAACTAAGAGGTGATATCTTGAATAGGTGATCAAAATTAACATCAACACTGAGGAACAGATGGGTATTTTGAAATATCATAAGCTGAGGACAAACCTCACTTACATGGTATTCCAGCCAAGTCTGCCTACCCTGAATCTAACTGGGGAAACATCAGACAAACCCAGAATGAGGAGGGGAGATGCTGCATTTTTCAAAAATGTCAATGTCAGACACAAAGAAGGGAACTATAGACACTGGGGCCTACGGGGGTGGAAGGTAAGGACTGAAAAATTACCTATTGGGTGTTATGCTGATTACCTGGGTGACAAAATTATCTGTTGACCAAACCACTGCAACACACAATTTGCCCATGTACCAAGCCTGCACATGCACCCCCTCCCACCTAAAATACAAATTAGAAAGAAAAAAAACTAGTGACAGCCAAAAAAAATGTCAATGTCATAAAGACAAAGAGTCTGTGGAAATGTGGCAGATGAAGGGAGTCTAAAGAAACAATGAAATGATCCTGTACTGAAGAGAGAAAATGCTTAAAATGACATTGTTGACTCAATTGACAACATTGGAATACAGATGGTATCAATGTTAAACTTAGAAAAGTTGATAAAGCTCTACTGTGATTATGTAAGAACATAGCCCTACTCTTGCGAAATACACACTGAAGTATTTAGGGATGAAGGCTATTATTTTACATCTGAATCTTAAATGGTTCAGAAAAAATATTGTGTATGTGTGTATGTTTGTATGTGGGGGGTGGTGTGAACAAATGAGCCAGTGGGGTAAAACATTAACTGTAGACAAATCTGGTAAGTAAAAGGCAAACATGCTTTTTTACACTGCTCTTATTCTTTCAGCTTTTATATAAATTTAAAATTATTTCCAAATAAAAATGTATATGTATGTAGCAATAGCTAGTTTTTTTAAATTCCAGAAAATCTGATAAAAGCAAAATAATACTAAAATTTTCACCTACGTTTTTACTCCTTAATAGGCTTAAAAGGCAGGACATAAAAAAGGACACAGAAGAAGACATAATGGTTAAGATAAAAAAAGAAAAAAGAAGAAACCTCTGGAATTGGAACTGGTTTCGGTTCCAGCTCCACTACTTATTATTTCTATAACATTGGGCAACATGTTTAAACTCTCTCAGTCTCAATTTCCTCATCTGAAAGTAGGGGGATAAAATAGAATCTATCTCATAAGGTTGATGGGTGGTTCTGGAGATAATGCATATAAAATACTTAGCCTAATACTTGGCATTTAGCACTCTCTCAATGCATGTCAGTATTTCCAGAGCAATGACAAGGACAGAAAGCTTCCCATTTCATTTTGTAAGGTAACATAACCCTGAAAGCATGACAGAAACACAAATAGAAAGGAAGCCTATAGATCTATCACGCAAACAAATATGATACATAAATCATTTGTTAATGTCAAGCAGTCTATTAAAAGAATAATATAGTAGGGTGCATTCCAGAAGTTAAGAACTTTTCAATGCCAGAAGAGCTATTACTATATTCGTGATTCATTCATTACATTATATACTATGATTCCCCCCATTTAACCTGTTCTCTCAATAGTTGCCCCCAAAAAAAGCTTTTGGTAAATTTAATTTTCGTTCCTGAGAAAAGCCTCTTTGTAAACTTCTAATTGAAGGAAACATCTTTGGCATGATAAAGAAACTGACCACAGACATCTGTTAAATCGCTAGAGGCATGTCAAAGTCAGAGAGCATGTTTCAGTAGTCTGTCTTACATATGTGGCACAATGGAGATGTCAACAAAGCTGCAATAGAGTGACATCAGTTATGCAGGAAAACTGACATCTAACACAGTCTCAGCCGATACCATGCAAGTTTCAGACATTTATTGTAAACAGTAATTTAATGCCTTATAAGGATTGAGAATGATAGAGTGTTCAATAAGTAGAACTGAGTTAATTGACAAATGATTTGGGGAAAATTGGTCCTTACCTCAGAGCATACATCAAAATAAATGATAAGGAATGAACTATAAAAATGAAACATCTAAAAGAATATAGAGGTAAACAGTTTCATTAATGCTGGGATAGAGGACTTTTTGATACTAATTAGGCAAAAGCCATAAAGGGAAAAAAATGAAAAATTTGCTTATGCAAACATTTTAAAACGTCTATGTGGCCAAAAATAGCATAGAACAAGTTTAAAAGCAAAAATTTGATCAGAAGAAATTATTTGCAATCTGTTTCAAAGATTTCACAAAAGAATACAATAATCAGAAAACTGGCAAAGGACATAAACAGGTAACCCACAAAATAATTATAAATGACCAATAAAAATATGAAGAAAAGCTACAATCTAAATGGCATACAGGCCAGGCGTGGTAGCTCACGCCTGTAATCCCAGCACTTTGAGAGGTCAAGGATCACTTGAGGTCAGGAGTTAGAGACCAGCCTGGCCAACATGGTGAAACTCCATCTCTACTAAAAATAGAAAAATTAGCCGGGCAAGGTGGCATTCGCCTGTGATCCCTGCTACTCAGGAGGCTGAGGCAGGCAAATCACTTGAACCCAGGAGGCGGAGGTTGCAGTGAGCCAAAATGGCACCACTGCACTCCAGCCTGGGCAACAGAGTGAGACTCCGTCTCAAAATTAAATAAATAAATAAGTATACAAAGAAACACAAATAAAAACAACGTTGAGATTACATTTTGCCATTAAATTGTAAAGAGGCAATGTTGACAGTATAGGGAAGATGGCACCCTCAGCCATTGCTGGTGGAACTATAATTTTGTGTCAGTCCTTCTAGATGTCAGATTGGCATTGTGTTGCAGACCCCCGACAATGTACATACCCTTTGACAAAGCAATTTAACTTCTAAGAATTATCCTAAAGAAATAATTGAACAAGTAAGTATGCAAACGTGGAATTAGAAGATGATAACTGTTATTTACAATAACAAAAAAATTGGAAGCAGCCTAATTGTCCAGTATTATTAGTTATGTCTATATAAATAAAAGGGTATAGAGCCAATAACATAGGATTATATTTATTGACATGTAAAAAAGTTATTGTCAAAGCAAGCCACAAAATATATTCAATATATTCAACATAATTTCATCTTATTAAGAAAAATACATATGTATATGCATGGGGAAAAAAAAAAATACCAAAACATGGATGGATTCTAGATGAATTGTGCCTATTACAGGGGTAGCAAAAAGAAGGGGGTTCCTCTAGGGGGCACCAACTCCCAAATATTGTGGAACTTTCAGCCCAGAAAGGAGAGGTACTTGGTACCCGTTTTAGGAACAGCTGAACTCACTGGTTCACTAGTTATTTTTCCTACACCCCAAAGGCCTCCTGGATGCTTCCACAATGTGAATTTAGACAGGGTGTCTTTTCGAATGAGAACATGCAGCCACAGCCCTTCGGCATATGCTTTTAACAATGATTTTTCTGGTTCTTTGGCCTCTGGTTCATTGCCAGCTTCATGTTTTCTTTCTAAATAGCCTCTTAATGTCACAACTTTGTTCCATTACAGAATGCAACTGCTTTGCCTGGTACTTGGCGAAGAACAGACGTGCACTTAGAGAACCCGGAATACCACACCAGATGGTATTTCAAATATTTTTTGGGACAAGGTAATTATGCTATTGTGGTGGTAGGGAAGAAAGGGTATTCAAAATGGAAGTTAGTGTTAGTATAATTTCTGGTATCCTATATGAGTGAAACTAGCCATTTTAGAAACACTAACATCAGGACATTTCACTTCAAGGTCAGTAGTAAGCTTTGTAGATTAAAAGATCCAATTCAGAGTCTCAGCCCTATTCAGAGTCTCAGCCCTAAGAGTTTTTGCTCATAGTTTCCTTTTTTTATGGACAGTCATTTTTATTCCTGGAGAGCTGAAGGAGATTAGATCATCTGAAAAAGTGATTTGAGAAATAAGATGAATTTTCCAGGGTGGAAAAACAACTTTAGACTTAACAAGGCAATTGCCCTGTCTATATTGGGTTTTGAATACTTAGTTCAAGGCAATGAGGGAGATAACTGGTTCCCTGAGCTCCAGGGCCTGTATAGCACTAGAGAGATATTAGATTGTAGACTCTGGCATCATTCATACATTCAACCATGACAAGTATTTATCACCTACTACATGCCAGGCAATGTGCAGAGCAATGGGGATACAGTGGCAAAGACACTCAGGATATGGGTTTGGATCCTGATCCTGCCATTATTAATCAAAGGACCTTACACTGGCTACTCTCCATTTCTCTGAGACGCAGTTTTCCTTTCTGTAAAGTGGAGATATTACAAGTGCATATCTAATAGGTCTGAATGGAAGTTTCAGTGAGATGCAGGAATAACACTAAGCCCAGTGCCTGACACATACTAACAGCTCAGTCATTAATAGCTATGTACATTTAAAGTGAAGGGCTCAAGTGAAAATATACAGAAAGGTGGAAAACAGGAATGTGGCTAATTACAAAAGATTTGGGGAATGGAAGAATAATCACTATTTTGGGATTCAAAATGAGTTAGAGAAATTTTTTCTCAGGCTAATGTATTCATTTGTAGATATGATGCTTGAATGACAAAATGAGAGTGAGCAGACCTAAATGATGCCTTTAAAGAAATCTGACTCTGTATTATTGTAAGAAGTTCCTTTTTTTGGCCAGGCAAAAATTATTGGTGTGTGGGGGATATAGAAGCATTTATTTTAAAAAAAGGAAATCAGCAGGAAAGCTGTCATCTTCCCAAATGCTTGTAAGTAGTGCTCAGAGCAGTGAGGACTTTAGAGAAAAATGGTGCCATGAGTTTGGATGCCTTCAGGTGCAGTAACAGAAAACCTGACTCAAACTGGCACAAATAGTAAAGGATATAACAAAAAAACCCAGAGGCAGGGCAAGCCCTGGGGTTGGGGGATTCAGAGGCCCAGTAATGTCAAGGACCCAGGCCTTTTCCCTTTTTCTGCTTCTGCATCCTTAGTGTGGCAACTTGGCACTTGGGCTGGCCCTGTTCAGGGTCACAAGATGGTTTCAGCAATTCCAGGCATCACTTCTAGACTCCACCAGTCCAGAGGAAGAAGGAGGCAGTATTTAGAAGTGAGGAAGCCTCTCTAAAAGCCCCGTGGCAGATTTCTCCTCCCGTCTCATTGGCCAGAATTTGATCACATGTTCATTCCTGAACCAGTCACAAGCAAGGGGAAGAAGAATGCATGATCCCCCGAGAGAGATCAGGTCCATCCCAAGCTGGCTTTGGGATTATTGTTCCCTGAGCATGTGGGAAGGGCTGGACACCACCTGCAGTGTCCTCTACCATCTGTGACTGGCAGGATCAGTTGGATTCTCACTGTTCTAAACCTTTCTTTTCCAGTCCATCAGAACTACATTGGAAATGATGCAGAGAAGAGCCCTTTCTTCTTGTCCGTGACCCTTTCTGACCAAAATAATCAACGTGTTCCTCAATACCGTGCAATTCTTTGGAGAAAAACAGTAAGTATATGGCTCGTACCTGATGCAAAATTTATGCATCAGTTTCAGGAGATAACCCCTGTGATGGGGAACTGTGTGCCAGTTTATTCCAGGGCATGCCTCATAGTCGTCTTGTGATTCACCTCTGAGAAGTTGACAGTGCCTTTGCCCAAAGCACCTTATTTTCTGCACCAGAAGACTGTTTCCTGGCCTTAACAAAAAAAAAAAACTTATTTATTTTGTGCTTGCCAATTACAACGTTGTAGTCTCTTCTGGTTTAAATATTTTCTTTGAGATGACTCTGTCTCTTTTGGGCAAAGAATCAAGCGTTTCCAATTTTTTTGCCACCTCCTGCTCCTCTTGCGGTTGGTATTTGTGCACATGGGGAGGGGGCTTATGAGACCTAATGGTTGCAGAATGGACCCACATGGGCGCTCTGAGTTCTGTCTGATTTCCACTGTGGAGTGACTAATCCAACCTCTGAACTCGTGACCACGGAAATATAATTGATTCCTCTGGCTCTTTTGAGTCATTGGAAAGTATCTGTCCCTGAAACCCATGGTGCCAACTCTTTGCCTCTTGTTGTAAAGTCACTCCTTGTCCTGATCCCAGGTCTCCGCTAGTCTCTGAATCTCTCAGAAGCTCTCCATCCCCTCCTGGGGCACATCCTCTATGAACCATAGGTCAGATGTGAGGAGGCAGGACCGTTGCCATGGGCCTGCGTGTGTCATACTTCTGGTCATTAACACTTGCAGCCACTGAGTTGCTACCCTTCACCAAGTTCAAACCAGGTGCTGCCTGGACTTAAGATTCCTGTGCAAGGCCATGCCCGGGAAGGGGCCTCTGATTCAAATGCTCTCAAGTGCCTCCAGGTCTTCCCTTGACAGATTTACAGCATCCCACAATGCCTTCAAAGCCTGTCCTTGGCATGGGGGCATCAAGGACCCTGGCATCCACCTCTTGGCCGGCCTTCCTTCCTTCCATCCTTCTCTCCTTCCTTCCCCCGATCCTTCCTCCCTTCCACCCCTCCTTCGCCCTCCCTCTCCCTCCCTCCCTTCAAGGCAGGAGAGGGTGGGTTTCCCCCTTCTTCCACCTTCCTGGAGTGGACTTTCTCAATGTCTATTTTCTTCCTCCAGGAAGTAGCAATCACATCCTCACCGAGATGACTGCCATGTGTGAGGGGAGACAGAATGAGACAAATACAGGGGGAACATTTGCTTATTTTAATTTCCAAAGATACTGTCTGTATGACGTTATAAGTTGTGATAAGCACGCTGAAGACAGAGAATGACAGAGCATGCTGCAGGAGCCCTGCTTAGATGAGACAGTTTAGGGGATGCCTCCTGAGGTGGCGCCCAGCAAACAGAAGCCTGAAGGATGGAAGGAAACCAGTCATTTGACGAGTAGAAGGGGAATCAGGGAGTGTTCCAGGTAGAAGTAGCAACAAATGCGAGACAAACAAGGGTTACTCGTACCTGGTATTAGAGAAGTCAAGGAGGTGGAATTTAAACCCCAGGACTGCTGTGAAGGCAGCATAGGGGTAGGGCATGATGAGAAGTGCCAGTGCCTTCACCCAACACCTCTTCCCTTGGCCTTCAGTTATGTGTCAAAGACAGCGAGAGGGTTCCCAGCCGTTGATGGAAGTGCCGAAGGGAGGGAGGAACTGAGAAATCAAAAGGAAGAGAAAAGAAAAGAAGGAAGGAAGGAAAGACAGAGAAGAAGGGAAGAAGGGAAGGAAAGAAGGAAGGAAGGAAGGAAAGAAAGAGGGAGAGGGAGGGAGGAAGGAGAAAACAACTAGCTAAACATATAACTCTATGCAGTCTTGCATATCTCTACTGTGTTTTTTCTAAATACACAGAAATGGCTCACACATAAAATATGAAAAATGATTTGTACTTATTGTAAAAATTCTATCCAAACAATATAGCAAGTGAAAAGAATTCAACTACTCAGAGATAATCACTGCAACAAGCTTCTAGACATCGTCCATGTAGACACACACCTGCACACACACACCTGTTACGCAGGGTAATCTTTGACGTGCACTTCTGCATCCTGACTGTGCTCACTGGGTGTTGCCTGATATCTACATGCACTTGACTCTACCTGAGCATTTGGTATTTCCACTGAACACAGAACCATTTTTCTTGAACATTGACTCTGGAAGCTACAAAAGGGAGGAGATAAGGAAGAGTTTTACCAGTTTGTGGTGAAGAAAAACACAAACCCACAATCCCAGGAGCCTTGGGTTTCACACCCATGTAGGCAGGTCACGAAGGTGTCACTGTCACCCACCCAGTACAGCACTGGAGCCCTCTGCTGTGCCACACATTTCCCCTGAGCTGCCCTTGGCTTCTCTTTAAAACTGCCTTTGGGCTGGGCATGGTGGCTCATGCCTATAATTCCAGCACTTTGGGAGGTCAAAGCAGAAGGATTACATGGGACCAGGAGTTTGAGACCAGCCTGGGCAACATAGTGAGACCCTGCCTACTACAAAAAAAAAATAAAAATAAAACTGCCTTTGATGTGTTGGGTAAGAAGAAAAGGTAGACAACGTAGGATCTGAGCTAGAGGGGCAGATTCAAGACAATCTCCTAGACAGGGGATGCAGTGTAGGCTGGGGCCAGTTAAAAAGCAAAGCCCCAGAAGAACTCGGGTTTCAATGGGAAGGATCTGTAGAATCAGAAGACATGCATTTCTATCTTAATATTCCTCTATAATATTGGAAAGAAATTTAATCTCTGTAACACAAACTACAAAAAGAAAAGCTCAGCCCAGTTTCCGTGGCTAATGGAGAACCCATAAGAAGGGCTCTCTCTAGTGCAGCTTCTCATCCTCAGCTCCAAAGACATCCTCCTCCCTGGCCTGGAGAGGGGTGAGAGTAGCAGGCCTCCAAGGGTGTAGGCATAAAAGTTTTGTTTATGCAAAGAGACCATGGGCTTGGAAAGTTCAAAGAACTTCTCTCCCTTGCTATTGTTCAGAGCTTGGACAGATGAATTGGCAGGTATATCCCAATAGCACAAGAAAAATCACATTTCTTTGCCTGTTCCCTAAAAGAAACGTTCTTACCCTCCTCTAGCCATTTGTGATGACAATTTTATTACTAGTCAAAATCAGGAAGAAAGTTTTAAATGTACAGTATATGATAATCCCGTTTGCTAGCTGTGTAGTGTGAAACCTTTGTGGATTCTAAATCTATGTCACCTCTTCTTAGACGATTAGGAAGAGAATAGCACTCATCTGTTCCGGGTGGTGTGGATGTGAGACTGAATCAGTTAGGCAATTCTTCTTTCCCTTTTTAGCCAAAATATATTCATTGAGTATTCCTATGAATGAGTCATAGTTGGTACTCATTTAGGAGAAAAGAGACTTTAAATAAGAAAACACAGATAAATATAAAAGCATGCATTATGAAAACCTCTCTGAAAGATTCAGGGGATTTCTAGTTCCAAAAGTTTTTGACTGGGAGACATTATTTTTGGGTCCCATTGAACATGTGGAGACTGTTGTCTTATGGTCTTTGAGGCTTATTTGATGCTTGGCTTACAGACCGAATTCCCAGCCGGGCACAGTGGCTCATGCCTGTAATTCCAGCACATTGGGAGGCTGAGACAGGCAGATCACCTGAGGTCAGGAGTTTGAGACCAGCCTGGCCAACATGGCAAAACCCCGTCTCTACTAAAAATTAGCCGGGTGTGGTGGCGCATGCCTGTAATCCCAGCTACTTGGGAGGCTGAGGCAGGAGAATCACTTGAACCCAGGAGGCGGAGGTTACAGTGAGCGGAGAGCGCACCACTGCACTCCAGCCTAAGTGACAGAGCCAGACTCCATCTCAAAAAAAAAAAAAAAAAAAAAAACGAAAAACAAATTCCCTTCTCATCTGGTTCAGATGGCTCAGGTGCTCTCCATAATACCTAAGACACTGAAGACCTGTATGTTGAAGGCCATGCTGAAATCCACACACGTTGGGGTGGAGACAGCCTGGAAGTCGCTATCAAACCTGAGCAAGATTGTTTTCAGTCATAGAATGTGTTTATTCATATATATGCCCCTTGAGGAGAAAGGAGAAAGACTGGGCATGGGTTTCTTTTGAATGACCAGAGGGGCTCTTTTGGAGAAGGAAGTTGTAGAACTTGTCACTGATTTGATGTGTGGACTTTTCCAGGGTACCCAGAAAATATGCCTTCCCTACAGTCCCACAAAAACTCTTTCTGTGAAGTCCATCTTAAGGTGAGTTCTAATGGGTAGAAAGCCTATGCATGGATTTGGAGCCGTTTATACACTGTTTTTTCCTGTAATCATTCTGATGTTAACTTTCCATTGTCTTGAGCCTTGACTGTGTGAGACGTTTTGCTAAGCACTTGGCATGACATGCATCACCTCATGTCATCATCACAGCAACCCTGCAGGGCAGGTGCTGTCACTGTGCCCATTTTATAGATGAGGAAATAGAGGTTCAGAGAGAGAAAGCCAAGATCACAAAGCAAGTGTGTAGTGGAACCAAGGCCTGAGTCCCGGTCCAACTGATTTTGAGCATTGCTCTTAGACATCTCTCCATACTACATTAGTTGCCAGCTTCTTTTTTCTTGCACACACTCAGATACTTTAGTTTTAGAAAGATAATCAAGTAATATTTTTCCTTCCATTTTTTCCACCTTGAAATAGAAACCCAGATGTCAGCAAAGAATGTACTTATTCTTCGCCAGACAGAACGTTAAATGGATGGAACATCTGGCTGCTGCCTGCTCAGCCGCCTCTTGTGCCCCCACCCTCCCACCTCCCTCTCATCTCTCTCCCATGCTTAGGTGGCAGCCTCCCCTAGGGATTGCCACCACTTGGATCCAGCCTGTTGCTTTGTTACCAGCTAAGATGTTACATCATAGTAATGGTAGCTTCTGTTGGTCAGGCACTGTGCTGAATGCTTTATGAATGTTCTCTGAGTCAATCTTTAAACTAGCTCCACACAGTAGATCTATTATTATCTCCACTCCACTTATCAGGAATTGGAGCCTCAGAGAGGTGAAGGGATCTGACGAAGAGCTCAGAGCTGGTAAATCAAGAGCTGGAGTCCTGTGACTCCAGAGCTTGGGCTGTTTAACCACTAATGCCCTATTGTGTGAAGAACAAAGCTTACCTCATAGCCCTGGTGATTTCCTCTCTATTCATCTGCAGCTACCTGGTGGTAGATGTGTTTCCAGTGTTCCCAGGTGACATGTAATAGCTACAACTCATCCTTACCAAAATGGCTCTTACAGCAACAAACTTGACTGTATCTGTTGGGGATTGCATCTGGCTGATTAAAAGGCACGAAGGCCGGGCTCGGTGGCACACGCCTGTAATCCCAGCACTTTGGGAGGCCGAGGCAGGTGGATCATGAGGTCAGGAGTTCGAGACCAGCCTGACCAACATAATGAAACCTGTCTCTACTAAAATACAAAAAGTTAGCCAGGTGGGGTGGTACACACCTGTAGTCTCAGCTACTCGGGAGGCTGAAGTGAGAGAATTGCTTGAACCCAGGAGGTGGAGGTTGCAGTGAGCCGAGACTACTCCATTGCACTCCCACCTGGGTGACAGAGTGAGACTCCATCTCTAAAAGAAAAAAAAAAAAAAGGAACCAAGATTAAGAAGTGAAAAACGTTATATCCCACTTTCAAGCTTAATTTGGTCTCCAGATTGCAGACCTCTTCCTGTCTGCTCTGTGCCTTCTGATTTTTCTTCTAAGCAGTGCTAAAGCCTGAGTTAAGCCTCTCCACCAAGAGGCTAACATTTTTCCTGAGCACAGAAATATCCTGCTGCTTTCAAGAAACTATAAATCTTAATTTGCTTGGAGAGTAATACCTTAAATTATACCGGTTTAAGATTTCTGTGAATTCTTTTTTCTAAAAAGAAGTTTACTCTAGCTCCTTTCTTCTCTGTTTAAAAACTAGGCCTTTCATTTTGTTACAATTTCATTTAGTTGTATGAGCAAGGCTTAGCTTTTCAGTACACCCTCCTAGCCAGAGCAAGGTACAGCAAGATTTTAAAGATATGACAAACTACACATTCTATAGTTGCTGCCAGCAGAAGAAAATATTTTATCTTCTTTTGTTACAAGAATGAGAACTCGAAAACTTAAAAGGAAATTAAAGTATAAATACTATAGAGTCATATAAGCCTGGATTCAAGTCCTGGCTCTGCACTTTACCAGATTTTTATCCTGTTATTTAACTTCTGAGTTTCAATTTCCTCATCTTTAAAATGGGGCTAAAATATTACTTGCCTCATAAGAACTAAATGAGACAATTCATGAAAAGCATTTATCACAGCGTCTGGTGTGTTGTAAGTACTCTAGAAGTTCGTTATTATTTTTAATTTTCACTTATAAATATTGGAATATTAGCTGAAAGGAACTCTAGAGATCATCTATTTCAATCTCCTTGTTTTACCTCTATAGGAACTTAGGTTCAAGGGAATTTACGTTGCTTGTCCAAAGTAAAACATTGTAAAAAGTCTTGTTAAGGATGGTCTTTTGCCCTATGTGGCATAGAAATTTCAGTTAAACCTTAATTACATTCATCACTTTTAGTAAATAAAAATAAGAATCTGGAAGAGTAGCCAAGGTTACCTGAAACAGATGTTCCTGATTTCTCTCTCCTTCTCTTATGAGTGTCACTAGGAGCCAGTTATATAAGTCAAGTACATGTGGTGTTGGTTACTTTCATCTGTTTGTTCATTGATCACTCATTTGTTGATTTGTATCTTCTGAGTGAGTGTCAGGTCCTTTAGGGAAAACAGCTGTGATTTTTCTAGAGGCTACTTTTTAGCTTCTCTGAAGAACCAAGTCTTGCTCTATATTATTTAAGTTTCCAGCATGCTGCAGCTCATCCTGTCCATTCTATTTCAGTGCCATGAATCTGGACAAATTTGAGAAAGGCCCCAGGGAAATTTTTCATCCTGAAATACAAAAGGTAACAGAAAATTTTATACTTCATAATGATACAAAATTGATTACAGTGTTAGAATAGAGCTGACAGGTCATCAGTAATCCTTAGCCTAGGATACAAAGCGAAATCACCTGTGCAACTTAAAAAACTCATCATGGTAGAACCTCACACCTAAGGTTCTGATTTGATGGGTGTAGGGTAGGGCCTGGGTATCTGTGTTTTTCAGAAGTTCCTCAAGTGATTCTGATGCATAGCCACTCCTGAGAACCGCAGAGTTGTCCTCGGTCCACGGACCAATAGGGTGTACATTCAGAAAAATCTTATTGGCTTAAAAGCCACCCTTTTTAGTGAGTAATATAGAATTGTGTGGAATGTTAAAGAAATTTTTTTTTAAATTTGAGACAGGGTTTCGCTCTGTGGCCCAGGCTGGAGTGCAGTGATGCGATCTCGGCTCATCGCAACTTCCACCTCCCGGGTTCAAATGATTCTCCTGCCTCAGCCTCTCAAGTAGCTGGGATTACAAGTGCCCACCTCCATGCCCAGCTAATTTAGTAGGGACAGAGTTTCACCATGTTGGCCAGGCTGGTCTCAAACTCCTGACGTCAGGTGATCCACCCACCTCAGGCTCCCAAAGTGCTGGGATTACAGGCTGTGAGCCACCACGCCCAGCCCGGAATGTTAGGGAATATTAAAGAGATTTTTTTAAAAATTAATAAATCAAAACATGGTTGATTGAGCTCTTACTCATGTAGTAGACTGTACTGGGTACCATCAAGGATAAAAGGTATCCAGAAAGCCATCCCTGTTTTCTTAGATCTTACTGTTAAGGGAAAACAGTCTGCCTTGGGAGTGAAAAAAATTTAGTCATAATTTAGGTGATGGTTTATCAGAATAATGTCAACGAAACTTTTGTCTTGTAGTTATAACCAATTTAGCTTTGAAACTTACAAACACAGCCGTCACTAATAGTGTGCCCGTCGTGTGTGAAGCTGAGATTGAAGTAGTTGGGTACGCCAGGGATGGGTGACAAGGGAAAAGGCTGGAGAGGCAGGCTAGAATTCTATCCAGGAGGCAGCAGGGAGCCAGTAGAACCTTTAAGCAGGAAGCATCATGTTCAAATTTGCTTTTAGGTAAATAGTAAGAGGAGGATTGATTGGAACATGAACGATTTTTGCTTGCATATCTTTAAAATACGGTTAGCTTTTAAAATAAGGTTATTGACTCTCGGCTTACCCCAAATATAGAGAGTTGTGAATTCCCATATCTTTTGTTTTGATGTAATTTTTAAAATAGTATTTACACCCAGCCTCAACCTCAGACAGAACTCAGGCAAAAATGGGTATGTTAGGTTAAACTGTAAGCGACTTTAAGCCATCCAGGTTTATTACAAGTGATACTTTATAGCAAATTTTAAAACAAACTAGAATTATAAATATGTGAGTACCCGTGTGCTCTTATGACTTCACTCACACAGGTTATTATTCCTAATCCTTCTTTAAGCCTTGGTCTGATCCCCCACACCAACTCTGCTTCCCAGACACTGAGCCCCCAAACCCACAGAGCCAGCTCTGTGACACTTCTTTCTGCCTCTTGCTACTGAGCCAGTTCCCTCAGCAGAGCTCATCTCTGCTCAGTCATCCCTGTCTGATTTCTCTAGAAGAGGAAAAGAAAAAAAAAAAAAGATATAGCAGCATTCTGCCTATTTATATCACAACTCTGTGCCTGTTTTTACCAAACAAAAGGTACTTTTATGCTTTCCTATATTTGTGTTTTGGCTCTTTTCCCCTTAACAAAAGAAACCATTTGTGAACTTTCCCCTTGTCCTCTGTGTGTGTGAGTGTGCATGTGTGTGTGAATTTGCACATGTGTGTGAGGCTCAGGGATGCAGGGTGAAGGCTGTCATCACATTTCTGTAGATTTCTCTTAGGAACAGTTGAGCAACAGGCTTTAGGTAGAGAGGAAAGAGTTCTTAAAAATGGTAGGAGCCAGAGAGTAAACAGAAAGTAAACCAATTGTGTTATAAAGAAGGCATCTTTCCACAAAGAGGGAAGGTGGCTGGTGCTGTTTTTAAATGTTATTTGTCTGTTTCTGGCTGCTATACTGTAGTGACATTTTCCTTGACCAAAATCCAGAAGCAATGTGTGATTAAGCTAGCTTTAAATGGATAGAGAAATCAGAGTATCTGTGTTTCTTCCCACTCCTACCCATCAAGTTTGTTTCCTAGTAGTTGTGATATGTTTCCTAAATGACCAGGTATTTTATAAAAACCGGTAGAACTAAATTTGATTTTTAAAACATTTCTAGGTTTAAAAAGTGTATGTAAAATCACTCTCCCAAATCCCATATATATGAAAAAAATCAGTGTCAGTCTCAAACCAATGATTAGAATCATGCATACATCAAAAGCAATGCCAGTAGGACTGTATTAAGAAACACCATTACTGGCCAAAATTATACCTTCTGGGCTAAAATTACACACTAGAAAGCAGCAAAAAGGGGACTTCCAATGCTCACAAATTCAGGAACAAGAATATTTTTAAAATCTGAATCATGTAAAGTGGGACATTGGCAAACCAGGGCAAATTGCAAGACTATTCGCTTCTGAACAAACGTAATCCAAAATAAAGAAACTGCAACATAAATGTAACCTGACAGCCTGTGACATCCCTCCTGCCTCTACAGCTGAGTGTTGAGACTCTAGCCCTGAGCTCAACCGGAACTCCTGTTGCAAGGCTCTGATTCCTTCAGCCTAGCCCACTGAGGAGCAGCCTGTATTACCAGGCCAGGGACTGGTTGCAAAACATCCCAGTCCTAATGCTTGCAGGACTAGTGGCAATTGAGAAGCTCAGAGGTGTAACCCTTTTCTTATTCACCACAGTTAGCATGGAAGGAGCACTAGCCTGGGTGTTAAAAGGACTGGGCATGAAATTCAGAGCTGACACAGGCCACATGACCTTAACTGGAGATCTAATTCCTCCATCTGTGATTCAAGAACAATTAAACTGCACCCCCCATAGAGATAGATAGATAGATAGATAGATAGATAGATAGATAGATAGATAGATAGAGATATACACCTACTGATGTACCCATAAAAACTAAAAATAAAAAAATTAATTAAAACCACAAGGTGTTGAGAAAGATCATGGAAAGAGAGAATTTTGTAATGACATATATAGTGACATGCAAACATAAAGTCCCAATGTAAAAAATGTATAACATAATTTTATTTTTTCCCAGAATTCAAAAATAATACAGCCAGGCATGGTGGCTTACGCTTCTAATCCCAGCACTTTGGGAGGCTGAGGCAGGAGGATCACTTGAGCCCAGGAGTTGGAGACCAGTCTGGGCAATATAGTGGAACCCCATCTCTACAAATAATACAAAAAAATAGCTGGGTATGATAGTACACGCCCATAGTCCCAGCTACTTGGGAAGCTGAGGTGGGGGGATTGCTTGAGCTCGGAAGGTCAAGGCCTCAATGAGCCAAGGTTGCACCACTGTGCTCCAGCCTGGGGGACAGAGCCAGACCCTGTCTCTTTAAAAAAACAAAAAAAGAATAAAATAATAAAGATGGCTGAGTTCTGAATGAAAGAGGCTTTCTGTTAAATAAAATGGAGGTTTGTGTGCCTCTTACAGTTCTTTCAGAATTGCCACATCTCCAGTTGACACAGCTCTTCCCCAGAGAGTCTTGGGCCAGAAGGAGGGTGAGGGTCCCTCCAGCCTCCCTGCCTCCATCCTGACCCTCGTTGCCTCTGCACTGTCCCCATGACTCACCTGGGCCATTCCTTCCCCCTCCGCTCAGCCACAGGGTCCCTGTCAGAGCCTTGGCTTTGGTGTCCGCTTATCAACCAGAATCTACTTTTTCAGAAGTTCTGGAAAAGATGGGACTTGCCTGTAGTAAGTTTACAAACTTTTATATGGGGTGACTGAGAATGAAAAGGAAAGTAATTTAAGGTTGATTAAATCTCTGTTGTGTACCAGGTCCTCTACACACACTGACAGTGATCTTCACAGGGTTTAAGACCGATGTTATCCTTGGACCATGGAGAAGGAAGCAGAGACCCAAATAGATTAAATGACTTGTGTCCACACACAGTTAAGAATGCGACAGCAGGGATTCAAAGGATTGTTTAGGTTTACTGCTCCATACTGCTCTTACGAGATGGTATTACAGGGGAAAAAGATCCAAGACTCTTGGCACCTACCTTTGTTGTAGTTGTTGGTTCCCCCCCGCCCAAAGCTCTTATAACCAACTTTTAAAATTATTTTCAAAATGTCAGTGTGAGAAAACCGAAGCTTGGCTTTCACAGCAAGTCAAAATGAAATAATTACTGTCATGCCTGGATGTAACTTTTAAAACTTTATTTGACAGGACTTGCTGGTTCTTGAAGAACAAGAGGTGAGTATTTCTATGGAAATATTTGCACCTGCTCTGCCTCCGTGTTTGTAAATATACTTCTCCTTTCACTGTGAACCCAGACTCTGCTTTCAGCCAAACCTCCCTGTAGATTTGCACAGTGGTACACATTGCATGGAAAGACCTTACTGGCATGTATTTTTAAGGTATATTTCAGAATTTTCTATGCGTCTAGCTATAAAGCTATGAAAACAATCAAACTACTTAAATCTGCTTGGAAACATTTACTGTGTTAAGCTTATGATCAGGGTGAGTAATGAGTTTTTAATTTTCATTAAAGTAGGGTATTTGTGCTTTATTAGGATACTCTTAATATACAAAATGCTGAATTTATTTGCATGTTGCCATTCCCTGTTGCCCCCATTAAAAATATAAATATATTGGATTTTCTAAGTATGTAACTAACATAGGGAAATATCTAAAATATTATTAATAGGCAATGGAGTAAATAAATTATGGTTTATGTATCTTATCCCTCTCAGTAAATAGCAATATCTTTTGTCTTGTTGCTTAGGCCAAACTTGGAAAAATCCTTAATCCATGTCTTTCTCTCTTATCCTATATCTAAGCTATCAGCACGTCCTGGTGACATCTCTTCATAAAATATCCCTAATCCAAACACTTCTCAACACTTCTACCACAACCACTCTGGTGTGGGGATACCACCTCATCCTCTCTTGCCTGGGCCCTGCAGAGTCTCCTAACTCTTCTCCTGGCTTCCACTCTCCCCCTCTCTTCTGGTTTCCAGATAGTAGCCAATTGTCCTATTGAAACATGTAGAATCAGGTCATCTCTCTGCTCAAAACTCTAAAGGCTTCCTGTCCTGTTCAAAGGGAAGCCCCAGATCCTGACCTTGGCCTGCTGGAGCCTGCATGATCTGGCCCCTCTACGTCTCCAGTCGTCAGCTCCAGTGTTTACTGAAAAACACTAACCACACTGAATTCCATATTCTTCCATCTCCTCAGAAAGAGCCTACAGTTCCCACTGCTGGGGATGCTTGTCCCCCAGATGTCCTCACTCAATCAGGACCTCTGCTCAGAGAGACCTTCCCTGACCACTCTGTGTAGAACAGTACTCCTTCCTCTCACCCTTAGCCCCTTTGTTTTTTCTTAATGCTGGTATTTTCATTTGTGTGCTTATTATCTGTCTCCCCCATGAGAATAAAAGCACCATGAGAGCAGAGACTATAAGCACCATGAGAGCAGAGACTTCTTTAATTTTGTGTTCCAAGATCCTAGAACAGTAAAAATAGAAGGTATAGAGTAAACATTTGTTGGTTGAACAAGTGATTGATTGATTGATTGAATGAATACATTATGAAATATTATGATGCCATTAGAAAAAATAAGGTAGTAACACAAAGGATAAATGCTTGAGAGGATGGATACCCCATTCCCCATGATGTGATTATTACACGTTGCATGCCTGTATCAAAACATATCAAAAACCCATAAATATACTTACTAATATATAATACACTATGCACCCTCACAAAAAAGAGTGAGATAGAGTGCCATGGTGTGAATGCTTGTGTCCCCCTCAAAATTCGTATGTTAAAGCCTGACTACCGATGTGGTGGTATTAGAAGGTGGGGCCTTGGGAAGTGATTAGGTCACGAGCAGGGAGCCCTTATGAATGGGATTAGTGCCCTTATAAACAAGGGAGCTTGTTCGCCCTTTCACCTTGTGGGTATGTAGCAAAAAGGTGCCATCTGTGAACCCAGAATAGGTCCCGCCCCAGACACTGAATCTGCTACTGCCTTGATCTTGGACCTCCCAGCCTCCAGAACTGTGAGAAATAAATTTCTGTTGTTTTTAAGCCACCTAGTCTATGGTATTTTGTTATAGCAGCCCAAATAGACCAAGACATAGACCTTTACTTACTGGCATGGAAAGATTTCCACCACATAGTATTTACTGAAAAAAGCAACTTATGGGAGATTATTTACATAGAATCCCAATTATGTTTTTATAAACAGATATTTGTATGTATACTCATTCATTCATTCATTGAACACATACTTATTGAGCGCCTACCATGCATGTACCATGTACTGTTTGAGGCATTGGGGATACATCAATGAGCAAGACAAGGTCTCTTCTTCACGGAGCTCACAGTCTGGTGGGGTAAGACAAGCTACACAAGTAAACAAACAAACAGAAACATGGTAAGACCAGTAACCCCAAGAGCTGTGAAGAAAGTAATGCACAGTGGTGGGGTGTGCGGTGAGGGGTAGGTTTTTTACATTGAACAGAGAAGGTTTCTCTGAGGCAGCGACACCTCAGCTGATTCTTGAACATGTAGATGTAAATACAAAGAAGGGGCTGAAAGGATGCACCCCCAAATTGTTGGTGGGAGTTACTTTTGAGCAGGATAGTGGAACTGGGGTGGGATGCAGCAGAAAGCAGACAAAGGGAGATTTCTGCTTTTTTTATTTTTAAGAGAGGGTCTCGCTATATTGCCCAGGCTGACTTCCAATTCCTTCCAACTCCGCCTCAGCCTCCTGAGTAGCTGGAACTACAGGCTTATACCACCATGCCTGACTACATTTTTATCCATATTTTGTCCATCTTAGGTTCATGCTTGTTGCAGGAGAATTTATGGATTTCATGTGTAATTTGTAAAAGGCAAAAAGTACGAATAATCACATTTCTGGTAAAAATTTTAAAAATAAAGAAATACACAAAAGATAAAAGGAAAAAATCACCTGCAGTCACAAAGACGACTGCTATTAACATTTTGGTATATATGTTTGTTACATTTTATATAAAATTGGGATTATATATAGCTTTTATATGTCAAAATTACTCTGTTCATTAATCTACAGATATTTATTGAGCACCCACTGAGTGCATGCACATGCTTGTTGTAACAAACCAACAATAGAGAAAATGTACCGATAGGAAATGTGAACGCTCCCCCTGCCCTGACCTCACCACTTCCAGCCCCTGAAAGAACACCTGTTCACTGTTCATTGCATCCTCCCCTGCTTTTTTTGAAACTCCCAAGTTTTGAAAAATAAGTTGATCTCTTTATTTCTCAATTTTATTTCCTTACTAAGGGGATATTAGCTTGAGGCAACACTAGTCACTTGTCATGACATCTTGAAGTGTGAACAATGGCCATGATCCTCCAGAGCTTCTCTGAGAGCTGTGTGGCGAGGCACTCTATTTAATCCTGCTGCTTCTCAACTGGTATAAGTTGGGAGCATTTATCCCAATTCCAGCCTATTCTAGTGGTAAACTATTAGCTGCAAAGATGGGCAGGGAATCCAATAAAGAATACTAGTGAGGCTCCTGAAAGGTTAGCACTTTGGTAAGATGATGTCAGTGTCCTGAAACCCATGTTTTGTTTGCTACATAGAGAGGCACCCTCATGAGAGAACACGGCATCCCAGGCTGTAATACACGTGGAGAGAGGAGCGATGTGTAGGAACATGTGGAACCCTAGAAATACGGAGACGTTGCCTAAACAAGAGTAACAAGGAACCAGGGGTATCTCATTTTGAATAAGGCCATCATTTCTCAGTTCCAAAAAATTCTTCTGGAACCATTGGGACTTTAGTTTCCCCTCATAGTTTGTTTTTCTCAGAAGAACTATAGTTCATAGCATACTACTGATTGCCAAGAATGTGACTGCATGTTTGTTTGTAATCAGGTTGAGTTCTGTCTTGTAAAATTTAGAACTTAGAATATTTAAATTCCATCCAAGTAGGAATGACAGATGTGACCTTATCTGTATGTTGAATGTTTGAGCAAGACTTACATCCTGAGAAAACCCAGTGCCTGTGGATTCCCTCCAGCAGTACCTTCCTCCAGGGACCCGGGTCTGGCCTTGAGACCTTAAGAGCTCTGAATAGCTGGTTAAAATATTATCTGTGACAGTCCACTTGCCCCAATCAAACTGTCCCCTCCTAAAATATGAAATAACTCATTATAAAGAGCCATACCTTGATTTCTGGAGATAGGTGAAAACTTTTAGTCATGGACATAATTTGGGAAGTCCTGGACACCATATTACCTAAATGAGGCTCTAAAAGTAGGTTCAAGTACTTAACAAGTACTTCCAGTCTTTCTGGAATCTCCTCCACCTGAAGCAGGAGGAATTCATATAATTTATAATTTAAACTGGGACCCTTTGAGAGTAATTATTAACATCAGGACGACAGATAAAACAGATAAAAGTCAGGGCTGTCTTGGCAAACTTGGACACGTGATCTCCCTACCTTGAAGATCCTACACCATTGGGTGCACAGGTACTAGAAAGACCCCCATCATGCAACCCTTGATGCCTTACAGACTTTGCTGTTGTCTGACCCTAATAACTTGTGATGAAGACTTGACAAGACTTTGCAACACCAGTCTTTCTGGAGTCTCCCCCTGAAGCAGAAGAGGTCCTCAGCAGGGATGTGGCAGCATGGTGCCAGTCTCAGAGCAACCCTATAAAAGCTTGTAAAAGCATTGGCCAGTGATCAGGTGGTAGTAGGCCCCAGCTCTGCTTGTACATCTCAGTTTCACTCAAAACTTTTCAGAGAAGATTATGCCATGATATTGGAAAGAATGCCGGATCAAAAGTCGGAAGACCCAAGTTCCAGCTCTGGTCTTACTGTTCACTTAGTTCCAGCCATGCGCAAGTCCCTGTCTTCCCTGAACTTCCCTGTCCTGTCTTAAAATAAGAGCATGGACTCAGTGGACTGTAGGGTCCTTTCTGGTTTTAGCAGGCTGTCAGTTTATGGCTCATAGTTATGGTCGTTGACCTAGTCCTTCTGCTCTGACTTGCTAGCTGTCAGCTCAGCTGGACCTGATCCTGGGCCTCCTGACAGCCTCGGTTTTTTCTCTAGTCCAGTGGTTCTCAGCGTGGGGCCCCTTGGCCAGCAGTATCAGCATCACCTGGGAACTTGTTAGAAATGCAAATTATCAGGCCCTATCCCAAACCTCCTGAATTGAAAACTCCTGGGGTGGAACCCAGCAATCTTTATTGTGACAAGCCCTTCAGGTGATTCTGATGCCTAGTCAAGTTAGAGAACCACTACTGTAGTTCCTGCACTATTATTCTAAGAGGGTCATATGTCAGACCCCAAATTACTGTAGGAGCTTTTTAAGGGACCCTTGCGACATGTGCTTGCTGTCATCACTTCCAAAACAGAGAAAGAAAAGTGACAAGCTATAAAACCCTAAAGTGAATAGAGGTCCCTGAAAACGTTCTAAGAAATTAATCAAAAGCTAGTTTGTAAGGAAGCAGCGATCATTTGGAGACATCGTATGAAAAATAAGTTGTTTCTGACAAAGTTTATCTCTTTTCTCATTTATTATGCATACAGTCCCTTATGTCATGAATATTTATTAATCTTTTCCAATGTACTGTGGTCAACACTGGGGATTCAATGGAAAGGAAACAGTGTATGATTTCTCCTGCACAGGACTCAGGTTCTAGTGGCAGAAACAGACAGATACGCAAGTTCAATAGAAGATTTACAGAGTGTAAATAGTGCTTCGAGGAGAATAAACAAGGTGCTCTGATGGAGAATAACAGCAGGAAGGAGGGTGACTTTATATGGGGAGATCAGGAAAGGCTGATCTGGAAATTGACACTTGAGCTGAAACCTGCATGATGGGAGAGAGCCGGTCATCCCTAGAACTGTGGAAGAGTTCCAGGTGGAGGGGTCAGTTTGGGAGTGTCCTCTCTCTTCCTGTATAGAAAACCACTGTTAGTGATGAGTATGCATCTCAGGTGTTTTGGGGACAGAAAAATGTTTGGATGCACAGCCTTAGAACTTGGATTTTCAGCCAGGCACGGTGGCTTATGCCTGTAATCCCAGCACTTTAGGAGGCCAAGGCGGGCGGATCACAAGGTCAGGAGATCGAGACCATCCCAGCTAATATGGTGAAACCCCGCTTCTACTAAAAATACAAAAAATTAGCCAGGCGTGGTGGCAGGCACCTGGAGTCCCAGCTACTCCAGAGGCTGAGGCAGGAGAATGGCGTGAACCCGGGAGGCGGAGCTTGCAATGAGCCGAGATCGCACCATTGCACTCCAGGGTGGGCGACAAAGTGAGACTGTCTCAAAAAAAAAAAAAAAGAAAAAGAACTTGGATTTTCAGATTCTTAATACTCCTAAATCCAGCTATCCTGAATCCTGGCCATCGCCTTGACTTCCTATCTCTGACCCATTGGCCAGTGTGCTTTAAATATCTTTGTCCCTTGTCTACCCTTAATTGACCACCAAGAATTTCTCCATCTAGTGGTGGGTCAACCAATCTTGTAGAGGTTGATTCTCTTCCAACATTTTATTTTGTGTTTATTATGAAATACTTCAGGCGTACAAAAAAAAGTATAGAGAATAACATAATGAAGACCTATAAAACCACTACCGGCCGGGCATGGTGGCATACGCTTGTAATGCCAGCTACTCGGGAGGCTGAGGCAGGGGAATAGCTTGAACCAGGGAGGTGGAGGTTGCAGTGAGCCGAGATCACACCACTGCACCCAGAGCGAGACTCCATCTCAAAAAAAGAAGAAAAAAAAAAAAAAAAAACTACCCAATTTAAGGGAAAAAAAAACAAAACATTAAAAATATGATTGAGGGCCGGGCGCGGTGGCTCAAGCCTGTAATCCCAGCACTTTGGGAGGCCGAGGCGGGCGGATCACGAGGTCAGGAGATCGAGACCATCCTGGCCAACACGGTGAAACCCCGTCTCTACTAAATACAAAAAAAAAAAAATAGCCGAAGGCGAGGTGGGCGCCTGTAGTCCCAGCTACTCGGGAGGCTGAGGCAGGAGAATGGCGGGGACCCGGGAGGCGGAGCTTGCAGTGAGCTGAGATCCGGCCACTGCACTCCAGTCGGGCTACAGAGCAAGACTCTGTCTCAAAAAAAAAAAAAAAAAAAAAAAAAAAAAATATGATTGAGGGCCGGGCGCGGTGGCTCAAGCCTGTAATCCCAACACTTTGGAAGGCCGAGACGGGCGGATCACGAGGTCAGGAGATCGAGACCATCCTGGCTAACCCGGTGAAACCCCCTCTCTACTAAAAAATACAAAAAACTAGCCGGGCGTGGTGGCAGCGCCTATAGTCCCAGCTACTCGGGAGGCTGAGGCAAGAGAATGGCATAAACCCGGGAGGCGGAGCTTGCAGTGAGCTGAGATCCGGCCACTGCACTCCAACCTGGGCAACAGAGCCAGACTCCGTCTCAAAAAAAAAAATATATATATATATATATATATATGATTGAGCCCCTGTTTACCACTCCCTGACCCTGTTCCTCTGTCTTCCTCCCTTCCCTGTGGAAGCTGCTATTTATCATTTCCACCAGATCAGAATTAATTCAGTTTAAAGTTGGAGGTGGTAGATTGCACATTTGTACCAGCTACTGCTTGCTTTTGGCCTGGGCTTGCTTTTTTTTTTTTTTTTTTGCACATCTGTTTTGTGACTTCTTCAGATTGAGTATCTTTAGGAATTGGGGAAAATGAGCTTTTAGTATAAATTGCCTATAATTTTCATTTCTGTTTCTAAAAGAGTCCACAATATATCAGCCTGAGATGATGTTAAGCTTTGAATTACAATGAACTCTTCTTCACTGACTGGGATTTGAACTGTTGCTCAGGGGTTGAATGGAAGACAGTGCCAGGCCTATGGGTTCCTGTGGCCATTTGTTGGAACCCTGTTTTGCCACAGAACAGAACTGGTATCCTAGAGATGCCGTTAGTAATGAAATTACAAACGAACTAATTCATAAAGGCATACAGTCTCATCTATAAGCTATAAATACCTGTAAAAATGAAGGAATGATTGCTGTTAACATTGGTCAAAACCCAGGTGGATGGGAGGAAGGGATCCCCTGACTGTCCATCCTGGTGACTGCCATTGTGCTAAGTCACGAACAGCACGTCTCAGAGCTATTTATGCTGTGATGATAAAATTAACTGTAACACCTTTTGTTATTATCCTAAGGGCTCTGTGAATTTCAAGTTTGGGGTTCTTTTTGCCAAAGATGGGCAGCTCACTGATGATGAGATGTTCAGCAATGGTGAGTGATCTCCTCCCGCTCTCTGCCACCAGAGACCCTGTCCTGCCCTGTTGCATTCTTGCCAGTTGGAGCTTGTCTGTTGAGTTGGAGTCTTTAATACGAGGAGATAGTTTCACACAATTTCAACGTGAATTTTGTAGGGAGGTTGTTGCCCAGTTTCATTCATTTGGCAAATATTTATTGACCAGCTCGTTTGTACCCAGTCACTGTTCGCACTGGAGAGACAGAAGAGCAGGTGGGATTTGGAGAATTTGGTTCCGCACAGACCCAAGAGCAGTGGAAGGTTTTTCTGTGATTTTGATGAGAGGAAGAATTATAAGATGGCGTCATCTTCCTAATATTTAACAGTTTTCTTGTTAAATACCTGCTTATTCTGAATGCAAGCAGTCATAACATTTTTGTTTTGCAATAGTAAGCACCTGTGGTCCCAGGCTGGCAGTAGTAAGCTGGGTTCATCTGATTCTGCAGTTTGCCTTTCCTTGGAGTCCTGGGAATTGTGGGACTTCCTCATGGTCCTCAGGAAGAAGGAAATGTGACTTCCCCATACTGTTTACCACGGATGAATTGGCAGAGCCTGGTTAATTTTCCAGCGATTCCAGTGCATAGTTAGAAAATGAGGATTTGTTGATGCCCATACTTTCCTCATACTCTACCTCTTCCTGCAGAAATTGGAAGCGAAGCTTTTCAAAAATTTTTAAATCTTCTGGGTGACACAATCACTCTAAAGGGCTGGACGGGCTACCGTGGCGGTCTGGATACCAAAAGTAAGCCTGCCTCTTGATCTTTTCTGTTGTAATTTGTATAATTTTTGTAAGTTAGCCTGACCCATGTCTGAACTTATACCAGAGATGGGGGAAGGGATGGATGAGAGAAGACTGGAGGGAGGTGAGTGCCACACCCTGTTCAACATGGAGTCATGGACCTCTTTGGCACTTCCACTGAGCTTCGTAAAACTAAATAAGCCCTCACAGCCCTGGACAGTGTCAGAAGTCCTGGTCTGCCCGTGAATATTACTGCTCAGCACCGTCTGTGTGCCAGGACTCTGCTGGGCTCTGGGGATATAAAAGTGGATAAACCAACATAGGGTCTTCCTTTCTAGGAGCTTGCAGTCTGGGGCACATCCAGCAGATGTTATGCAGATAATTATCGAATGGTTTAGCACTAAGTACAGAAGACAACTAAGAAGAAAAAGTACAGAGTGCTATAGGGCATTTTGCCTAATCTGGGGGATTAGGGAAGGCTTCTCTGAGCCTTTTTGTGACCAGAGGGAGGGGCGAGTCGGAGTGCTTGGAGGGTCTCAAGGGAAGAAGAGAATTCCAAGCAGAGAGAACATCTGTGAAGACTTTGAGACAGAAAAGAACATGTTGTGTTCTAGAAACTAAGAAAATTTGTTTATGGCTGGAGGGAATGAGGCACTGAGAATGATGCAATACGGCCTGGAGTAGGAGAGAGGGGATGACCCTGAAGGGAGTTTTGAGGTTATATTAATAAGTCTGCCTTTTATTCTCTGTCGTTAAGGGGTTTCAAGTAGGGGAGTGATGAGATTAGATCTGTACCTTTGAGCAGACAGGGGAGGCAGAGGAGAAACCTGCTCTCAGAGGCTGTGGCAACAGTCCAAACAAGAGATAGGGTTGCCGTGGGAGAGGGCTACAGGTCAGAAGGGAGACGGGGGATTAATTCAAGAGCCATTTTCATGGTAGAATTAGCAAGTGGAGGATGAAAAAGGAGACAGTACTTGAAGACACTTCAGGGTTTCTGCCCTGGGTAGCTGGGTGGGGCTGACACCGGCAGTGAGATTAGAAACACCTGAAAGGAAGCATTTTGAGGATGGGAGCCTGAGTGGGGGAAGGTAGGTAAGATTACAAGCTTAAGTTTGGAAGTTCTTTCCCCATCTCATTTTTGTGTAGCCTTGCTAGCTTTTCCCTTTGTTTCTTTTTTCTTTTTTTTTTTTTTTTTTTTGCTTTATTTGATCTTCACAGTCAGTCTTTGAGGTAAGTCAGGCAGTGGGTGTGAGGCCCTTTTGGCCTAGTAGTGATAGGCTTTGAGTCCAGGTACCCTCACCCTCTGGGAGCTTCATCTTCCCACCAGCCCAGCATGGCATCACGGATTCTGAATTTGGGAGAGCTAAGTGTGCCCTAACTGACAGATGCAGGGATGGGGGATTGGGCCCCAGTTGTCAGGCTCCAGCTTCACTCGAACACACGTAGAGTGCACACGGTGAATTCTTCAATGCCTGCCACTCATACCCCCACTGCCAACCCTCAGCCTCTCTGTTATGGTCATTACAACCATCCACTGATCCCTTGATACAGCCAGGCATTCTGCTAAGCACTTTGCAAATATAATCTCATTGAGTCTCCCCAATATCCCTAGGAGTTAGATACAACTTTTGTCCTCATTTTCAAATTAAGGAACTGAGGCTCAGAGAGAAGTGAGGTAACTTGTCAAAAGCCACATAGCCAATGACAAATTGAATCCAAGTCAGCCTAATTGTAAAGCCTTTGCTTTTAATCACAAACAATTCTGTCACAAATACCACTTCCTTTTGGTTTATGGACGTAATTGTTTGTGTCATCTTGTGTTAATTTCATCCTGTACCTCTCACAGCAACTGCAAGGCAAGGAAGCTCAATACTCTCCTCTTTAGCCTGGACTTCTTATGACCTCCTCCATTCTGAGGCAAGGCATGAATCAGACAGCAAGTGAGCTTAGGAAGAGAGGAAGAGGCCTTTCCATGTAGGGGCTGCATCAAGTGGAGGGTTGTTGCTTCCGTGCGGGTGGATAATCCGAATGATCTTTGAGAATGTCCTGTGTACAGTATTTCCCTAGCCTGCAAATGAAAATGCTTTCCTTTTGGCTCGAATCCTCTGTGCTCACTGAATGCATGTTTATATTTTGCAGATGATACCACAGGGATACATTCAGTTTATACTGTGTACCAAGGGCATGAGATCATGTTTCATGTTTCCACCATGTTGCCATATTCCAAAGAGAACAAGCAGCAGGTACATGTGAACATACAAACCATCAAATAGTGATGTGAATGTAGAGAGGGCACCGTTATGATTCCATAGAATTAGAGGCTATGCCGGTTAACATATGAGCTGAACTGCAGCTGCCAATTTAGGGGTGTTCCATAGAATTAGAGGCTATGCCAGTTGACATATGAGCTGAACTGCAGCCGCCAATTTAGGGATGCTTTTGGCGGTCTGTATTGGAACTTTCAACAAATCTTAGGAAGGGCTGTTCTCACTGGTGCTATCACCTTAGAGAAATAAGGGATCAGAGATAATAATGTGCATGCGTGTTTATGTGTAAACATGTATAGGTATTTGTGTGTGTGCGAGTGCAGTTTCATAGACTCTTTTTTGTCTCTCTTTTTAAAAATATCTTTGATTCAAACATTCTTCTATCCAACATGGACTCTTGAGAGACTATTTTGTATAGATGTTACCTCTTCTCTATGCCTTCTCTCAGTGTGCCTTGTGTCTTGTCAAAATGAGACTATCCAGGACATATCATAAGTGGGTCCTGTGTCATGGTTGACAAGTATTGTTTTCAGGTCACTGCAGGAAGTTAACACTGAGTGTCTACATGGGCTGTACCAGGCTGGGAAAAACCTCTATCTAAGACACTCCTGACCCACCCCAGAGCTTGGCCACTGAGATAGGAACAGAGGAGATCAGTTGGAGAGCAAGGGCCTAGGCTGGCAAAACATGGGAGGCCTGAAGTCAAAGATATCTGAAGTTCAGGGCTCTGTCATAGTGGCTGTGGTTTGTTATGTTGGGTTATGGTTTTTTGACTCTGTGAATGTGCCATGTTTGAGAGTCTTTCTCAGTGATGTTATTTATGCTTACTACAGGTGGAAAGGAAACGCCACATCGGAAACGATATCGTCACCATTGTGTTCCAAGAAGGAGAGGAATCTTCTCCTGCCTTTAAGCCTTCCATGATCCGTTCCCACTTTACACGTATCCTAGGCCTTTGTAAATGCTCCAGTGTGGCAAGCTGTGGTTCAGCCTCATTGGACTTCCATGACGCTTAAACCAAATCTTGTCGTGGACTTGTTTTGTAATGCTAGATTTAGACCCACTTTTGGGAATTTTTCCTAAGCTTTGTGTATAGTTCCCCCTTCCTCTCTCCTTCCATTTCAGTAGTAGATGGATTAATTCTCAGGGAATTCTTGACTCCTGAAATATGGTCTCTTTCCTCAGGTAGTCTATAAAATGAGGAAAACTTCCTGCTATTCTTCAGTCATAAATGATTTAGAAGAATTATAGGTAGTGAATTCTCTGAGAAATCTGCTTTAGGCATAAAAACTTGCAAGTTAAGATAAAAGGCCAAAATCATTTTCCTTGTTGATTTAAGCCCTGGTAATAGCTGTTGTATTACCATCTCTTGAAATTTGAGAAATGATAGAATTAGTAGTATTTTTATCTGATTCCCCTAATCCCTGTTCAGCTCATATTGCTGGCAAAGTCCAGCAGTGGAGCTGAAGCTCCTGCAGTGTCTGAGCTCAGCTCTGCCAGACAGGCATGCGGCATGAGCTTGGCCCGCCCAGCAGACACTCAGTTGTGGCCCTGTTACTCTGGGTCCCAGGCCATGACACTAAAACCCAAAGTTAGTGGCTCTACTAGTTGGACATAATAAGCAAAAGGCAACAAATCAGCATTTTCAGAATAAATTCTAGTCGAGTTACTCATTTCCCTGGAGGCTCCAAGTAAACATGTTTGGAGACAGGCCCACGGTGACTCATGGCATCTGGAGACTTGGACTTGTTCCTTGTGACATAAAAATAGAGGATGGAAGTAAGTGTTTAAAAGTTAACAGTTTCCAAACTTTCTTCCATGATGGTAGGGAAGCAAATGATATGCACTTGCACCTTGGTTATAGTTTTCTTCCCTTTTCATCCCTGCTTTCTGAGTAGTATCTGCCTCTGTCCCCTGAGATTTAGGGCTAATATTTCCCCTTTCTAGAGGTGGTTCTTCTTGTATAACAGAAAACTTCTCCAACTTCACAGCAGAAGCGACGGTGAGGTGACTGTTCAGGTGATTGAGAGGTAGTCATTACTTTTTAGAATTTCCCTGAGTTATACATTTTAGATTTGGGGCTTGGCACATTTGTTCCTGAAAAGGGGCAAGCAGATCATTAAGGCAGATTCATTCCAGGGAGCCTAGAAATGGAGACACTAAGGAATTGATGGCTCCATAGCCCTAGCTAAGGAAAGCAGGGGTTGGGAGATGGTGGGTGGAGGTGGAATGGGAGGAAGAAGAGTGAGAGAAGGGAAGACGCTGGATGGATTCTTTCCTACTATTTTAGACTCCGCAAACCCAGCACAAGCTAGGTAGATTCTGCTCAGAATCTGCCACCAGCTACAACAGGCTTGTTTTGTTTTGTCTCCCAAACCCAGAAGGAGAGAAAGGGAAGGTATACAGCGGAAACATTTAAATTGCTTTCCCTTTCCAAATGTGTGAGATGAAATGTATTACTAATTTCCTATTGGGATCTTGTTTGTACTTCCAGGCAAAGCTCTTTTTGCTTTGCCGACTGCTTAGTTGTTTAATAGCTATATTTCTGTTGCTTTTCTGACAGCTTTGGAGATTTAACCTTTTTCCCCAAAGGATGCACATGCAAACATTGAACCTACTCATGGTGCCCTCACATAAGTCTCCGTGGGCTGTATCTTGGAAAGAAGTATGGGTTCTGTCCCAACCTAAGAGTGATAGGTGCCCTTAGCACAGAAGCGCTGGTCGAGAATGACTCTGCACAAGGGATTTTCAGAGCACAAGCTGTCAGTTGTGAGCATCAGTGTTGTGATTCGTTCCCTTAACCATCACCACAGATATTTTTGCCTTAGTGAGGTACGATCAACAAAATGACAGTTACAGGTAGGTAATGACTTTGTCTCGATTGCTTGTTCTGATTCTCATGCTTGTTAATTTAGCATTGATTTTTATAAGACTCTTGATATACGTGTTTCTTGATTGATTTAATATGAGTGCCCTCACCTTACAAAACTTTCTTCAAGGCCACCGTCTCTTCAGGAAACATTTACTCCATCCGGTGTTGTTCCATGCAGGAGACCTAGGGGTCAGGGTTAGTTTGATATTTTATTGTACATTACCATGGGAAGAGGTTTGATATATTTGATCTTCATCCTTTCCTAGTCTACCTTCTTGCCTGCTTATCTTTCTGTTCTCAAATATTAATCTGTTAAAAGGTATTATGTTGTAAAAAGAACCTGAACTTTGAGCCAAATATATTTGGGTTTGAATCCCAGCTCTATCATTTATTTGAGGCTTTGGAAAAAATGTTTTCTCTTCTTGGAGCCTCAGGCTTTCTGTGTAGAGTGAAGGCAATGACACTACCCTGGCAGGTGGAGTGACAGTCAGAGGCAATACTGTATCTTTTTTTTTTTTTTTTTTTTTTTTTGAGACGGAGTCTCGCTCTTTCGCCCAGGCTGGAGTGCAGTGGCCAGGTCTTGGCTCACTTCAAGCTCCACCTCCTGGGTTCACGCCATTCTCCTGCCTCAGCCTCCTGAGTAGCTGGGACTACAGGCGCCCGCCACCTCGCCCAGCTAGTTTTTTGTATTTTTTAGTAGAGACGGGGTTTCACTGGGTTAGCCAGGATGGTCTCGATCTCCTGACCCCATGATCTACCCGTCTCGGCCTCCCAAAGTGCTGGGATTACAGGCTTGAGCCACTGCGCCCGGCCAATACTGTATCTTAAAATACCAAATATGCTTCCTGGTATGCAGCAGGTGCTCAGTGATGGCCATTGCTGTTCTTCCTGGGTACCTGGCTTGATGGGTTGGACCATGAAGGATTTAGGAAGACCTGGTCTCTGCCCTCAAAGCACCTTGACTAAGCTAGAGGGGAAAGGGAGGAAGTGGCCTCGGCTCTGGCAGACCAGAGGAGGCACTCCTGGGCATGGAACAAATATTCCTGACACATCCTATATGCAGCTGGACAAATGGAAGGACAGAATAGTGGTGTATTGGTTCATTTTCATACTGCTGATAAAGATATACCCAAGACTGGGAAGAAAAAGAGGTTTAATTGTACTTACAGTTCCACATGGCTGGGGAGGCCTCAGAATCATGGCAGGAGGTGAAAGGCACTTCTTACCTGGTGGCAGCAAGAGAAAATGAGGAGGAAACAAAAGCAGAAACCCCGGATAAGCCCATCAGATCTCATGAGACTTATTCACTATCACGAGAATAGCACGGGAAAGACCAGCCCCCATGATTCAATTACCTCCCCCCGATCACCCCCCCATGGCGTGTGGGAATTCTGGGAGATACAATTCAAGTGGAGATTTGGGTGGGGACACAGCCAAACCATATCAAGTGATGATCTTTGAAGAAAAACCAACTAATTCTGTAATATTCTCTACACAGGCTGAAAATATTTTCAGAAGAAAGTGTACCACTCTTTGGCCCTCCCTTGCCAACTCCACCAGTGTTTACAGACCACCAGGAATTCAGGGACTTTTTGCTAGTGAAATGTAAGTTTCTGGTTTGAAATGGTTTTGCAGTTTGTTCTGTCAGAATACATTTCTTCAGATTCTCCCAGGATGGTGTTTAAGGAATGTCATTGTTTAAGCATTCCGTGTTCCGTTAATTCTTTGCACAACGTGTGTTTAGTATTTTGGTCGTGTTGTGTGCGTTTTCTCCTGTGTTTTCATCCCCACCTTCCATCCTGCCACCTGCCTTGAAGCTTCTCTACGCTCATCCACTAAGGACCCTCGGGCCTCAAATTCGCCTTTCTGCCCTGTGTTCTGGTACAGCCATTGCTGAATCTCTGCTTGTATATGTATCTGTATCTGTCAGAGAGTGGGATGTAGGTGGGGGAAAGAGTGGTTGTGGGTATATGCTTAGGGATAGGGAGAGTTGTTGGGGAATGTGTGTGCACACTTGTGTGAGTGTATATGTGCACCCATGCACATGTGTGGGAGAGAGAGAGACAGAATGAGAACATAATGTGTGTAGACCCAGACTGCCAGGCATCACTTGCTGGTGAGCACATATTTTCACTCTACCCAGCTCTGAGGCCCCATCTCCTAAAGCACAAGAGCTCTGCACATCCCTCCTCAGGGCACCCCTGGGAATTATTTCTGGTAGTCCCATGGTGGGACTGTGTCATTGCTGATCAGAAACAAGTTACTTGGGTTCATCCACTGCAGTTTGCCAGCCCCACATCCTGGCAGCGCTGCTCAGTCTGTGCCCTCTGTGAAGACACTGCTTGCCAGCCTCCTGCCAGGTATGCTGGGTATTGCAGCTGCTTTGCTGGCTGCCTCCTGTCCCCACCCCCAACTCCTCCCCACGACAGTCTTTGCCTAAATCTGTCACTGTTGTCATGCAGCTCTGAGACATCTGGAGTGCCCCTCTCTTCTCTCTGTCCATCCTGGTCACCTGGCCTCAAGGAAGCATTGACTGAGTCCAAAGCCTCACTGAGTCCTCCATGGACAAGTATTCCCCAACCTCCAGTCTCAATCCTACTCCAGTACTGGCCCACACCAGTCCCTCAGGCCAGGCTTAAGGGACGGGCACATGTTGTCTGTCCTCTGTCTTCCTGTCTCCCCAGTCACTCCTTCACAGTCCCGAACATGACTTCTTCTGCACAGAAACAGACAGTGCCAAGCATAAGTGTCAGTTCTAGTCACAGAAACATCCAAGTCCTGGCCAGGCTGTTTGATAGCCTCTCTTCCATGGGAAACCCCTCCCTAACCTTACAGAGACCTTGGCATGATTCCACAATTTTCTCCTGGAGAACAGAGACATGAAAGACACCTTTACTGAGGCTCCCTCTGCTTTCCAGCTGGGCTTCCTCTCTTTCCAGCTGAACCACCTGAATTGTTACCTCCCATACTCCAACCTATACCAGGGTCTGTGGTGATGTCTCCCTCAACACATTAGAGGCAGCAGACACTGCAAACCATGTGCAACAGATGATGATTTTGTCTGTCCTTTTCCAGAGTTTATACTCATTATTTCAAATGCTAGAACAAGGTCCCCAACTCAGATGGCTGGAGAGCCAGGCAGGGAGCATGAGCAAGGGAGGCGGACTGAGCAGAGGACAGTCAGGAGCGCTGGAAGCTGTGACACACTTGAGAGCGTGTACTCACTGCATCCAACTGAGTCCTTTCAGAGCGTGTGGCATGGCCAGTGTTGCCAGATACTCTGAGTTTTCGAATCAAGCCAGAAAGCTGAAATTGTATGTGAAATTGTGCGAGTCTCATGTGTTCAAGTCCAGGGGATCATGCAGAGAGCAAGAAACAGATCTGAAACAGAGTCAGCAACAGAGTGGGTGTAGCTACAGGAAGCTGAAAGGGTGTTGGCAGCATGGGGCTCAGGAAGAGAACATTCACTGTAGGGGGCCTGTGGCAGGGAAGGAGCCACTAAAGACCTGTAACCACCAATTAGAGATCACTCAGCAGCGCTAGGGACCCAGCATGTAAGTGGAGCCAGTCAACAGAGGTACTTTCATCAGCGTCATCAAAGACTTGGGGTGAAATGAAACAAAGGGCTAGGTTGATTTGACATTGACGATTTGAAAGTAGAAATAGCAGAAGAATTACAGATTCAAGGTGATGGGGAGGATGTGTTGATGAGATGGAGTGTGGGGCCAGGAAGGACCAGGAGGGGTTGGTGCACTGAGAAGACAGGTGGCAGCTGGGGATCAGAGGGTCTTGGAATTCCAAAGTGGATTTAGCAGCAAAGCTGAAAACTCCGAGATTACAGGAAATGTCATTTCAACAAAAATCTTGACCTTTTCCCTTATTCAGCTGAAATGAGGCTTTAAAATGGATTGTTCCAAAGTACTAAGCAGACAAAAAAAAAACCTCAAACAAAAAAATTCCCAGTCACAGAACTAAAGAAAAAAACAGACATGCATAGCTTCAATTCTTGTGTGTGTGGCAAGAGATATCTTGTAATTCCCTTTTTAACTTGATTTATTTTAGTAATTAATGGTGAAAAAGCCACTTTGGAAACCCCAACATTTGCCCAGAAGCGTCGGCGTACCTTGGATATGTTGATTAGATCTTTACACCAGGATTTGATGCCAGATTTGCATAAGGTAATTCTGGGTCCATGGTCTTCTTTCCTTCTTATGGGGTCTGAGTTGAGAACACCAGTCTTCAACTCAGCGATGAGGCCCTGGTGAGAAAAGCATAGGAGGCGCCTTGATCCTTGCTGTCAGGACTGTGCTGTGGCCACCATGGGCTGACAGTCTCTCAGTGTTACACAAGAAGGAAGGACACTGGGTGTCCATATACAGGACTGTGATTTCCAGAAAGCCAGGGCCTGTGGAAATCAAGGTGCAGACCAGGGACAGGGAGGTTGGGTATCAATCAGCAATCTCTGGAACGTTGAAGACGGCTTTTCTTGGGGTGGCTGTTCTTGGTAATACTACTCAGCATTGCCAGTCCCATGAGCTGATGGGTAGGCAAAAGTGGGATTGTAGAAAGAGACAGGGTGCTTTTTTTTGGAGTTTTATTGGCCAGCCCCATATTCAGTCACTGAAACAAGCATTCCCATTTACTGAAGACCCAGACACTGCATAGGCCTGAGGCATAGCCACACTGATAAGACCCAACACCTTCCTATCACTTCAGGTGCACATGTGCTTTTTTTTTTTTTGAGACAGAGCTTCTCTCTTGTTGCCCAGGCTGGAGGGCAATGGTGCGATCTCGGCTCGCCACAACCTCAGCCTCCCAGGTTCAAGCAATTCTCCTACCTCAGCCTCCCAAGTAGCTGGGGTTACAGGCATGCACCACTGCACCGGGCTAATCTTTTGTATTTTTAGTAGAGACAGGGTTTCTCTATGGTGGTCAGGCTGGTCTCAAACTCCCAACTTCAGGTGATCCACCCGCCTCAGCCTCCCAAAGTGCTGGGATTACTGGCATGAGTCACTGTGCCCGGCCGAACAGCACCATTTCATAGGCACTTCTTAACTTCTGCCTGGTCAGTGTACCCCAACTACTCACAGGGATTGGGCCAGGCTAACCCCAGGACCCTAAAGAGCAAACCTTAATTGGTAATCTGTCAATTCCCTAAGGTCAGGGAAGATACAGAGAGGGTACCAAGATGAGTAATGATGTCCTTCAGGATGAGTAATGATGTCCTTCAAGATGAGTAATGATATCCCAGCTGAAGCATCACTGCCTGAGCCAGGCTTCCCTAGCCCCCCAGTTGAAACCAGGTCCCCTGTTAAATGTTTTAATATACTTGCCACACTTCCCCTTCGTAGCAGTGATCACATGTGCTAAACATATCATTACTTAATCTGTCTTCCCAGTAGACCCTGTGCTCCACGAGAGACCATGTCTATCACATTCCCAAAATCTGGCAGAGGACTAGGTGCTCAGTCAGTACCTGCTGATTGAATGAGCTTACCCCATTCAGTGACTACGGTTTTAAAGAGAACTAACATTACTAAGTATGCACTAGGCACTGTGCGAAGTACCTTACATGCATTACCTCATTTAAACCTCAAAACACACCTAGGAGGCAGGTATTAACCACACAAAAACACTGAGATTCAGAAATTAACTGATTTGCTCATCGCGACCCACAGGGCCACAGATTTGCACAGCTCTGCAGGCACCGTTCTCATAGAATTCAGTTGGTTGTGTTCCAGGGGGTGCTGCTGTGTAAGATTGGCATCCCAGAGCTGTGCAATGTGGTGGCCCAGATCACACTATTAGTAAGTTAGTAAATGATAGAGCTGCAGGTCTGCTGATTTCAAAGCCATGTCCTCAGCCCCCACGCAATGCTGGCTTTCTACCTAGTGACTCTGAATCTAGCATCTACCATGGACCTGGTACGCAGCAGGTGCTCCATCAGTGCTTATTGAGTGAATGAAACAGAAGGTAGAAATAGGACCATTTGGATAAATAGTTTTGTGCACTATGAGAAGCCAGAAGATGAGACTTAACAATGTTTGTGGAATTCATAACATTTTTTTCTTTTTTAGAACATGCTTAATAGACGATCTTTTAGTGATGTCTTACCAGAGTCGCCCAAGTCAGCACGGAAGAAAGAGGAGGCCCGCCAGGCAGAGTTTGTTAGAATAGGGCAGGTGGGTTTTCTTCTGAAACCTTTTCTGCGAGACATGTAGTTTCGAGTTCCATCCTAACCAGATGGCCCACGTGCAAAGACTTTGTTTGCCTGCTGCTATAGGAGCTCTGTAATTTCTCTTAGGATTGTTGTGGCAACCACGAGTGAGATTTTTGAGAACCGAGTAGGTGCAGTTCTGTGCAGGCGTCACTGAGAGAGCAGCACTCTGCAGAGGTAGGAATGCTGCTGCCTCGAGGCAAGTAGCCACAGGGCCCAGCTCTGGCCCCCTCTCTTCCACAGAGCACAGACCACTTGCCTGCCTCCTAGGGATTTTCTGAAGAGTGAGGAACCAATTTGGGAAATGCCTCTGGAACCCATGACTGGCAGAAGGAAGCACAGAGTAGCAGTGGCACTGACAGAAGACTTGAATTGCAATCCTATGACTTGGAAACAATCCAAGTCACCACCAAGTTAGGTGGTGCCCAGTCATCCCCTTATTCCAGACATTGGAGAAAATCACTCTCTTTTTGCCCTGCTCGCAAGTGACACTGGTATTTCTCAGTTCTGGGAGGCGACACAGCTGTCTGCCTCGATCGCACATCACAGCATGGAGAAGGAGGAGTGCCCTCAGCTGCAAATAAAGTTCTGGCCCAAAAGTAGAAAGTTGGGCAAGGCAGGTGGAGAGAGGAAAGCCATGTAATCAAGGGAAGCTTAGAGGCAAAGATAGCTTTTTCCCGAAACAGGTGCATTATTACAAGGTTCTCAAACATTGGTTCTTGTTTAAAGATACCCAGACTTTATTTCCAGAGATTCTGATTCATCAAGTTTGAGGCGGGACCTGAGAATCTGTATTTTTTCGATGCTCCTGGTTTATAAATCACAGTAATGATATATTGATTAATTGAAATGACAGAATGCATTTGGATAATTTGGGTTGGGACACTGTCATTACGGCTTCACTATGTCCAGCTAACTTCAATTCTTGATTAACAAGTCAGTAGAGGAACCTGAAATGTTAGCCTGCAATTACTCCTGTTTTATTAAATTTTTGTCAAATCACAATTGTTTGTCCCGCTGTACTTTTGCCGCCTGGTATGCTTTAATAAAGATCTCTGTTCTGTAAGGCACTAAAACTGAAATCCATTGTAAGAGGGGATGCTCCATCAAGCTTGGCAGCTTCAGGGATCTGTAAAAAAGAGGTGAGTTCATGATGCTTTCAATTTGAACTTTGAATTCCCATTTTCATTAATGAAATGATTGAGATTCTTGGAAAAACGTTTGGGAGCAGAAGGAAGAAGAGCATGTCTATTGCAGAGTCCTCAGGGAAAGTCCTAGACAAAATTGAGTGGCCATTTAGTGAGAGCCTCTGTGTTGCCATGGTATGTGTGTGCCTTCCCCTGCTTCAATGGAGCAGAGCTGCTGGAGGACCAACCTGGTCAGGCAGGCCAGGCCCCACAGGGCCTCTCAGGCTTTATGTGCATACACATCACCTGGATACCTTGACCAAATGCATGTTCTGATCCAGTAGGTCTGGGTGAGGCTGAGAGTCTATGTTTCCAACAAACTTGCACGTGGTTCCTGTGCTGCTGACCACAGACATGCTTTAAACAGCAAGGCTCTTGGGCAGTGTTGCTCAAGCTTTAGTGTGTATTGAATTCACCCCCAGAGTTTCTGGTTGAGCAGGTCTGGGGTGGGACCCAAAAGTTTGCATCGCCAATGGCTTCCTAGGTGATCTTGATGCTGTTGGTTAGCAGACCACAGCTGAAAAACCACTGCTTAATCTACAGTTCACTCAGCCAGCCAAAAAATTCTTTGGCTATTTATCTACATCCTGTTCCACTTTCCATGGGAGTAAAAACTAAGTGATCATCAAGAATAGAACAGAAAAAAATACACAAATTATATTATGAATATGATTTTGTATTGTAGAACAGTACCTCCATTCAGAATACATAAAAGTTAAATGGGACGATTTATAGCACATCACCCATTATAAAAGCAAAATAATTATGAACACATTTACCTTACTGATAAAGATATAGATGATGTGAGCCTACGTGCTTTGAGGTCTAGTTTCAGGAAAATGATGAGCTCAAAATATAATTAACCCTAAAAACCACAACCAACTTCAGACAAGACTACTGGCAAAGCATCCTTCCCAAAGGCTGCAGCAGTTCCAGTGTCTGCTTGTTCCTGTGCACAGTAGGAATGTACTGTTTCCAAGCACATTATAGATATGAGATTCCAGTAAGATTTAATAACAGTAAGTTCTTAGGCTTATATTAAAAACAGAAGTCTGTGGAACCATAACTTGTTCACCAGGTAATAACAGAGAGTGAGCGTCCATTGTTGAGGTCAGTACTTATAACCCACCCACAGGCCACAGACCACCCTCGAAGAAACTCAGCTCCATAGGGCCCCATGGGCTGCTGTGCAGTTGGCTTTGCAGAGGCCAGAGTCCCCTGCTGCTCCCAAGAGTGTTCTATGCCCAAAGAACCTGGCTTTGCCCACCTCTTCAGCACTCATCATTTCATGAGCTGTGGTCATGCTCTTAGAGACAGCCCAGGAAGAGTCTGCACTTAGACATGAAGGCCTGGAGACCACATTCTCACCCGATGGAATCCACATGAAGGCTCCGCCATGGAAGGGAGTCCAGGGCAATGGCAAACACTGTCTGTCCTCAGACCAGAGCAACTGTGGGGCCAGATCTGAGTTTGCTGCTGACACTGCACACCCCAGTATTCAACAGTTACTCAGACCTCACATGGTCACTGGCACCTGTGAAAAGCAGTAGACACCCTGCATGCACCCACCCATTAAAATGGGGCCAGGTACAGTGGTTCATGCCTATAATCCCAGCACTTTGGGAGGCTGAGGCAGGAGGACTACTTGAGCCCAGAATTGAAGACCACCTTGGGCAACATGGTGAGACCCTGACTCCAAAAAAAATTAGCCAGGCATGGTGGCTCATGCCTATGGTCCCAACTACTCAGGAGGCTGAGGCAGGAGGATCACTTGAGCCCAGGAGGTCAAGGCTGCAGTGAGCCATGTTCACACCACTGCACTCCAGCCTAGGTGACAGAGCAAGACCTTGTCTCAAAAAAAAAAAAAAAAAAAGTTACAATGGCACATGTGTTCAGCATATGTGCCATTTGAGTACAATTTTGGGGGTTTCATAGACCTCCTTGAGACCTCTGCGGATCCTGTAGGGCCCTTGGATCTTATGGGGGAAAAACTTCTTTCTGCTTTAGTGTTCCAAACTTGGGCAGAAAACATTTTGTTTTCTCTGGGCAGAAAACATTTTGTTACTAAGAATTGGTTGTTCTGTCTTGGTGTTACCTAATGCTGATGTCTGTGTTTTCTCCCTATTGACATTTATATTAACTTTGCTTTTTTTATGTTTTGTTGGTGTAAGTCACAAATTCAGAATTGCCAGAAATTTTCTTGGAGAAATGCCATTTCAGTCAATGACCTGCACTTGTTTAGCCTTTTTTCCATTTACAAAATGTTTTCATGTTCTTTAGGGGATCTTTTTAGAACATTACAAGTCCCATCTTAGCAATTAGGATATTCTTTTTGAGGCCGTGCATTTCCTAAAGGGAGAGCATCCTTTCCTTTTCTAAGAGAGCAGTAACACACAGTATTTACCCCCAGCCCTAATGCTATTTTCAAAGGTGGTCCTCATTGCCCTTCGCTTTACCTTGAGTATGCGAGTGCATGTTTGCCTGGGTACTTAAGAACACACCTACACGTGCACACACACGCTCTACTACAGCCCCAGGTGGGACACATCGGGCCCTGATGCCTGATTGAGAGTAAAAGTGAAGATGTAAGACTTCAACTTGGGCCTGAGAATCTCTACAAGCTCCTTGAGGCTCATCCAATGCTTTGGAGGGAAGTTGAGAATTCTGTTGAAAATGTCCACAATTCTGGTGTGATTAAGATCACGATACACAATGCCTCCTACTCCACGCATCCACATGTGGCTCTAAGGCTCCCCCTTTATGGCTGAGATGGAAATGAACTAAGAGTTCACTCGGTATAGATATGTCATGCGGAAACCTGAGTAGCTCTGTTCACAGCACTTGCATTCTACAAACTGTTATTTTTTCTTTAAGATTTTGTATTTTATGTGGATCAATAAGCATTTTCACGTGAAAACAATATCAACCTTTTAAAGCATCATTTATGTTTTACTAATCTGCTGAATCAGCAACACAGGAATCTGACTTTCTTATAGAATAACGTGGGACTTCCTTTAATGATGAAACTAACATGAATTCTCTAAAACAGAGGCACCATTTGGCCCAGCTCCCAGGTGTTAAAGCAAAATGCTTGCTTAGAAACCGTTATGAATGCATCAGTTGCCCCTGAGAAACATTATAATATTGGAGACAGGTTATGGTACCAGAAACCTGTGAATTCACTCTTTTCCTATTGCATACGTATTTGAAAGAAGACTTTTCTTCCTAAGAAAGGTAATTGTGTCCAGACCCCAGGGTTTGGAGTGACTCCGCTCCCACGGGGGTATCTGTGTTACTGTTTCAGGTGTGGTACTGTACATTTCCGTTTGGTGGGCTGCAGTGTATTTTTTCTGGTGCACTTATCTTCCGATGCTTGTATTGCCTCACAGCCGTGGGAGCCCCAGTGTTTCTGCAGTAATTTCCCTCACGAAGCCGTGTGTGCAGATCCCTGGGGCCAGGCCTTGCTGGTTTCCACTGATGCTGGCGTCTTGCTAGTGGATGGTTAGTGAGTAGCTGCTCCTACAAATGTCTTTTTCATATAACTTGTAGTACTTCTAAGATGAGTGACCACCAACCAACTCCCTTTGGACCATAAATGTGTGGTCTGCAGAGAGTTTAGCGAAGTTTTATTTCCTTATGAAATTAAACCCTTCTTTTCAGGGCAAGCAGAAGTAATATACTCTGAGCCAAGCATGCTGGAGGGTGGGCCATAGGTTCTCTTCCCAAAATATATGATGGGACTGTGGATATCAAATAACCTGTGAAAAGAATCTCCTTTTCAGCCAATACTTATTATCGCTCCAACATTTTACTTTAAATCAACAAGGACACATTATTTAGAACCACTGTCTCAGGGACATTCTCTCTCTCGAAGTCTTAAAAAAAAAAAAAAATTCTGATTCAAAAAGTACTGATTTCCAAAACAAACCATAAGAATCTTAGATAACTCATTTTTTATGGATATAGAAACAAAAAGATTTTGACAAGGAGACAGATTTCAGCTCAATATAAAATCACACATTCTGACAGCCAGATAGATCAGCCTGCCCGGGGAGTTAGTCTGTTCTCTGTCACCACAGATCAGCCACCGTCGCCCAGAGAGGGTGCAACTTCAGAGCAGGTGTAGACTCAAGGACAGTGTGGTCCCTTCCATCAGGAGTCCCCTTTAGATTATTCCAGACCCTGAATGAATGACAGAGGAGCTAAACACCAGTAACAGGTTGTCTCCTGGGCTTCAGAGGGAGCCATAGGCACAGAGACAATGTCTTCAAAGGGCATTTCCTCGGACTGCCCAGAAACAGCTGCCCAGTCTCTGGTTACCATAGTGACATTTTGTGAGAATCCCAAAGCCGCCACTGTGAGAATGACATAATGGCCTAAAACTGGAGCATCTTCCCATCCTTCAGTACAACCTATACATCCTCCCTCCAGCACTTACTGGGCACATTTACCAAGCACCTGCTGTGTGCCGGGGCCCCATGCCCGGTGCCTTCTGAAGTATGATAGATGTGAGCCATGCTTCATAATGGAACTGTTTCTGACCTCATCTGTTATTTTTGTTACATGTTTCAATTGTGTGCCCATAGTCATTGTATCTATAATGAACTTAACAAAAGGCAGATAATTTAAACTTCATAAATTTATAATTTAAATTCAGTATATAATTTTTGAAATTACAAAATGATTGGAAACTGTGATCTTAAAGAAAACTCACCCTCTATGAGCCTTGAGTTTCTCTAAATCGGGGATAATTTTTTAAGATGCTGAAAATAGTTTATAATGATGAAAATTGGTGAAACAAAATGGGATGATGATCACAACTACAAGGAGGGGCTAAAGTTATCTGTATTAAGTGTTTACATAGTGGTTGGCACATAGTAGTAACTTATTAAATGGCAGCTATTATCTTTACTATGTCTCTATGAAATTGCTAAGTGGTAATAAAATCCTTCCAGGCACAGTGGCTCACGCCTGTAATCCCAGCACTTTGGGAGGCTGAGACGGGCGGATCATAAGATCAGGGGTTTGAGACCAGCCTGGCCAATGTGGTGAAACCCCGTCTCTAACTAAAACAATACAAAAATTAGCCAGATGTGGTGGCGGGTGCCTATAGTCCCAGCTACTTGGCAGGCTGAAGCAGGAGAAGCACTTGAACTCTGGAGGAGGAGGTTGGAGTGAACCAAGATCGCAGCACTGCACTCCAGCCTGGTGACAGAGCGAGACTCCATCTCAAAAAAAAAAAAAAAAAGTAGGCCAGGCGCGGTGGCTCATGCCTGTAATCCCAGCACATTGGGAGGCCGAGGTGGGCGGATCACGAGGTCAGGAGATCAAGACCATCCTGGCTAACACGGTGAAACCCCGTCTCTACTAAAAATACAAAAAATTAGCTGGCATAGCGGCAGGCGCCTGTAGTCCCAGCTACTCAGGAGGCTGAGGCAGGAGAATAGCGTGAACCCGGGAGGCAGAGCTTGCAGTGAGCCGAGATCACACCACTGCACTCCAGCCTGGGCGACAGAGCGAGACTCCGTCTCAAAAAAAAAAAGAAAAGAAAAGGAAAAAAAAGGCTGGGCGCAGTGGCTTACGCCTGTAATCCCAGCACTTTGGGAGGCCAAGGTGAGTGGATCACGAGGTCAGGAGATCGAGACTATCTTTACTAACACGGTGAAACCCCATCTCTACTAAAAATACAAAAAATTAGCCGGGCGTGGTGGTGGGCGCCTGTAGTCCCAGCTACTCGGGCGGCTGAGGCAGGAGAATGGTGTGAACCTGGGAGGCGGAGCTTGCAGTGAGCCGACATGGCACCACTGCACTCCAGCCTGGGCGACACAGTGAGACTCCGTCTCAAAAAAAAAAAAAAAAAAAAAGGGCGCCACAGTGAGACTCCGTCTCAAAAAAAAAAAAAAAAGAGTAGGCTAGGCTCGGTGGTTTATGCCTGTAATCCCAACACTTTGGGAGGCCGAGGCAGGCGGATCACCTTAGGTCAGGAGTTTGAGACCAGCCTGACCAACATGGAGAAACCCTGTCTCTACTAAAAATACATTAGCTGGGTGTGGTGGTGCATGCCTGTAATCCCAGCTACTCGGGAGGCTGAGACAGGAGAATTGCTTGAACCCCAGGAGGCGGAGGTTGCAGTGAGCCGAGATTGCACCATTGCACTCCAGCCTGGGCAACAGGAGTGAAACTCCGTCTCAAAAAAAAAAAAAAAAAAAAAAAGTAATAAAATCCTTAGATCTTACCAAAAGTGAAACAACAACAACAACAAAAGGAATTAAAAAAACAGACTTTAGAGGTTTAGTGCAGTCTGTAGTTTTATGGATGAACAAGCTGAGGCCTAAATAAATGATGCGAGTTAACCAAGATCACACAACTGGTTAGTGGCACATCTGGAACTGGTACCCAGATATGATTGTTAGTCCAGGACTCTTTCCACTAAACCAACTACATTATATTAAACTCTACCAATGTCTCCAACACAGATTTCCAAAAATATAGTCCTGGGCAAATAATTATGAAAAATTTTGTGATTTAAAGAATGTTCACTCCTTCCCTTTTGCCCTTTTGGGAAAGAGAAAGCGTACTTCATAATGACTATTCGTAAGCTTGCCTAAAACCGAAATACTCTATTTGAGTCGCCTCTATTTTTTTAAATGCAAAATCCAAACCAAAATTACCAAGTTCCTTTCTGAAATTTTTATCTTAAGGATCCAAAATTTAATAGAAATGTCAGATATAAGGAGTATTGTGATTTGCCAGGAAATTCTTCCTTCCAAATTTGAAGGAAGTCATCTTCGACAGGATGGTGGGTGTAGCTGTTTATACCCACCATTGGCTTAGATTTATGATTTGAATTAGTTTTTTCATGTCCTTATTGTACGATGATGCTTCTGTTTGTTTTTGCTTAAAAAAAAAAAAAGAATAATCTTCAGGGCCTTCTTTGTATTTCTTGTTGTGCTTTTAAGCCACAATTCTCTTATTTCTTTGTTTACCTTTTTCTTGTCTACATTTAATCATATTATGAACTGTTGCCATGAGTGAGTCCATCCATTTTGTTTCAGACTGAGTTCCACTCTATCCCATTAGCCTTTGCTTAATTTCATTAGATGTGTCCCTTGAGAGTCTACTCCTTTCAAGGTCATTATTAAAAATCAAGATCTTTTGTATCCTAAGTTAGCAAAACCTACTTTGAAAGGAAACTAAATACTGATTAAATATGCTCTCACCGTGTGTTTTGGTTTTGCAGTAACAGAAAAGCTGGTTCTAAAAGATTGTTCTTCATAAAGAGATTACAGGAAGGAAAGCATTGTCATCAGTCAGTCATTAAATCCACCTGTCACTCTGTCCGATCCTTGCCTCCACTTCCTCCTTGTGTTGTACACAAACTTGTTCAGCCATCTGAGAAAGACTGGATGGAGAATAAGTGCTAATTCACTCTGTACATAGCTCAGCAGCTGTACAATGTATACCTCTGTTCCTATGTAAAATGAAGGGCCTCTGTCATTTATTAATTCCTCGGAGTGCTGTTGCTGCTGTGGCCGCGTCTCTATCCACTGGGACACGGGGCTGCTCCAACATCCTAGTTTATGTTCCAACACTGGTGAAAAGCATGGCTTTGTCCTTGCACAGGCTTGGGCTCCACATGCTGGAGGTGTGACCTCAGACAAGTCATTAACACCAAGCCTCAGGCTCCTCCTTTGTTCAATGGGAATATTATAAGTTCCTACCTAATAGGGTCATCGGGACATTTAAGTTAAACATATGAAACCCTAAGCGTTAGGGTCTGGCGTAGAGAAAGCCCTTAGTGTATGTTACCTGTCCTTGCTGTGACTGCTCTTCTCCCACAAATGGAATAATTGTAATGATTTAGCCAACTATGATGATGGGTATTAGGGTGATCATCCCACGTTTTGAAAAATAAAGTCTGCCCCAACAGAAGTACAAAGACCCTGATAATTAGTTCCATTTCGTGGAAGCCCAGGGTAGAGGAGGCAGAAAAGTGGTTGATGAGCTATTGTAAAATTTGCATTCACCCCAATATTTAAGAGGAACAAGAAACAAGCCCTAGATGTAATACTAAGCTTAGCTTAGTCTGTGCTCTGACAAATATGAGCCCTCACAGGCCTACAGGAGTGGGAGCTCCTCCCCCCACTGGGGGGACAGTTATTAATCCTGATGGTAAAAGCTCTGCTCCCTCCTGGATACCATCCAGGAAGGGATGAACCCCCAACCACACTTAGATTTCTGGAAAAGAAAAGATCCTCAGAGCCCCTTGCTCCTCAATTTTAAACAAACCCAACTCTGCAGCAAAGCATTTGCAGAATAAATGCAGGTGAAGACTGGGCCAGCCACTTCTCCTGCCCCAAATGTCTCCACCATCCCGGACACCTCTGCCTTACCCTGATTCTGCCATCCATCTCAGAACAGACCCTTTTGCTTTCGGAACTGAATGGAACAGCGTTAGTAATTCCTTTAGCCTCCTGTGTCCTCGGGGCCCCCAGGAGCAAAGTAATTGTTAGCAACTTCGATTCCCAGTAAGTAACCTCAACAACAAATCCTGTGTGGAAGTGCAGTGTCTTGAACCATCCATTTACTGGAGATTTCCCTGAGCATTCCCACTTCAATTCGTTTTTCCTGCTATTTTGGCAATTTAGTTGATACTTCTCTTTATTTATGTTTTTGTCTAAAAAGGAGATTTCCTATTCCTTTGGGAAAAAATACTGAAAATGTATAGGCAAACTACTATTGCCACAAACACAGGACATGTTAGGGTAGAGTGTGTTTGTATTTATCTGAAATCCAAAAGGAAATTTTAATTTTGCTTTCTTGAGATGTATACAATATGACCTAAGATATAATGTAATTTCAAATATTACATAACAATAAGAAAATACTTGAGAGAAATGGCTGCTCTTTTTTTTTTTTAACTTGGTATTCAGGCCTTTGGTACAACCCTAGTAAAAAATGGTATTGAGAGATGTTGCTTTTTCTTTGATGAGCACAAATAGCGTTCTCATGCTTCTGCTGCTATGCCCCCTATATAGAGTTTGGAATATAGAATTGCCTGTGGGAAGAAAGCACCAGTACTTGTTCCTGAGCTAGGAGGAGAATAGTGCTTGAACGTATTGTGTAGAGCTTATGAAAGCCCTAGAAGCTGACTTCCTTCCTTGCCTAGAGAGAACCTGGGTTCAAAACTACCCACAGGCACGTTCGGTGGGTTCTGGAAAGCATGGGCTGGGTTACAGTGATGGGTAACCAGGTTTCCTTTTCCAGATGACCTTCCATCAGTGTCCGTGTTTGACAGAACTCTGCCAGTGAAGCAGATGCACGTGCTCGAGACCCTGGACCTTCTGGTTCTCAGAGCAGACAAAGGTGGTATCCCCTGCCGGGTGGCATGCTGTGGAGGAAGGAAAACAGTTGTCTTCTGTGGCCCACACCACAGGTCGCCGGGGTCTGATGGCATAGGCTCTGCCAGCTGTTTCCTTTCCTGATGCCCAGTGCTTGGGATCCTTCAGTGGCCCCTTCGTTCTCTGGGGAGGGAAGCTGTGGCAGGGGGCGGTGGGGAGGAAAGGGATGCATACGTAATTGCATTATCGGTTAAAAGTGGTGTTGGGTGCCTCCCGAATTCCAGAACATCTCCAGTCCTAGTTTTCCTACGCAGTCGGCCCTTGGAGGCCCTTCAGGTCACGTTACTTTTCCATTTAATCTCCTCCTCTGCCCTTTTTATGTCACTAGGAAAAGATGCTCGCCTCTTTGTCTTCAGGCTAAGTGCTCTGCAAAAGGGCCTTGAGGGGAAGCAGACTGGGAAGAGCAGGTCTGACTGCAGAGAAAACAAGTTGGAGAAAACAAAAGGTGACTTGATAGATTGGTAGATTCCATTCAATTCATTTTTTTCCCCTCACGCTGCCCAGATTTTGCTGAAAATAAAAATGAGTAGGAATTTGATCTTATTAGTTTGTTTTTTGTTTGGAAACATCACAAAAATAGCATCACTGTTTCCATAAGAGGCTTGAAAGCTAGACACATTGAGGACTAGAAGAAATGCTAGGCCTTGCATAACAGGTTCTAGAGATTCATTAAACTCTGTTAGCAAATCTGTTACTGAAGAAATGTTTAGAGTTTGGTTCCTGGAGCTCTCATTACTTTAATTGATGCCATGTAGTAGGTATGAAGTTAAGTTCACAAACTCTAGAATATAGGAAATAGGACTTCCTTTCCTTTCCTTTTTCCTTTTTCCTTTCCTTTCCTTTCCTTTCGGCAGAGTCTCACTCTTGTTGCCCAGGCTGGAGTGCAATGGCACGATCTCAGCTCACTGCAACCTCTGCCTCCTGGGTTCAAGCGATTCTTCTGCCTCAGCCTCCTAAGTAGCTGGGATTGCAGGCGCCCACCACCACGCCCAGCTAATTTTTGTATTTTTAGTAGAGATGGGAGTCCACCAAGTTGGCCAGTCTGGTCTCGAACTCCTGACCTCAGGTTATTCGCCCACCTTGGCCTCCCTAAGTGCTGGGATTATAGGTGTGAACCATTGCACCCGGCTGGGAATAGGATTTTCTTAATTTTCCTGTAACTCAACCTAATTTTAATATCTAGTCTCTGTTTTGCCTAGTATCAGAAATATTCTTAGTCCATTCACTGAGTTATGCTTAATTTCCAGGATTCCTAGGTATTGCCAAATTACCAAGGCCTGGGGGCTTCCACACCTGCCTGTCACATGTAGGGCATCATTTCTTTCTTCTGCCCAGGCTGCCACCTGTATGCTATTAACACTCACCACAGCAGAGAGCTGAGGATTGTGGTCGCAATTCGGAATAAACTACTTCTGATCACAAGAAAACACAACAAGCCAAGCGGAGTCAGCAGCACCTCATTGTTATCTCCCCTGTCTGAGTCACCTGTTGAAGAATTCCAGTACATCAGGGTAGGTTTGCTCTTTAAACCATCTGTCTCCCAGCCAAGGTGCCATGAGGCAGACTCTGTTCTTCCATCCAGGGTTTGTTACCCACTGAGGTTGTTCCGCTGTTTGGTAGCCAACTAGGGAAACCCTCACCGTGGTGCTCTTGTTTCCCCCAGAAGACTAAAGCTACAGCTCATTGATTCCAGTGAATATCTACAGGTACTGTTCTAGGTACGAAGGACACAGCGATGACCAAAACAAAGTCTTCTGATGGGGTTTACTTTCCAGTTGACAGTTAACAGAAATAAGCAAATAAAGCTATGATGGCTGGCAGAAAGAAGTACTAAAATTAAATATAGAGGAGGGCCAGGGAACAAAGGATAATAGAGCAGGGAGTTGGGAACGTCTGTTTCAGAAAGAATGTCCCAGGAAGCCCTCTCTGAATAGGTTACCTCTGAGCAGAGATCCAAAAAAAGTATGGGAGTGAGTGATGAGGATATCTAGGGAAAGGATATTCTAGGCAGAGGGAGCAGCCAGGCAAGGGCCCTGAGGTCCTATTGAAGGCACAGTCAAGAGCAGAGGGAACAAGGCAGGCAGGTCAGAGAGAACGGGGAAATATGCTCTTGAGCCCTCAGGCCATTGCGAAGACTTTGGCCTTGACTCTGAGTGAGATGGGAAACCATTGGAAGATTTGAAGCAGAGAAGTGGCATGTTTTGAAAAGATGGTACTGGCTTCTGGGTAGAGGGGAGCTTAGGAGGCCAAGGGTGGAAATAAGAAGGCCTGCAACAAGACCAGTGCAGGATCCTGGCAAGAAAGGTTGGTGGCTTTGGTAGCAGGAGAGATGGGAAGAAGCAGTGGGCAATGCTTTCCTGCTTGCTTCAGTCAGCAGGATTTGCTGGGAGATTGAAGAGGAGCCTTGTGAGAGAAACCTCCTCCAGGCTCAAGTTCCCTCCCTGACGTCACCATCTCTTACCTTTTAAAGACTAGGGTACATTAAGGTATGGAACATATCTAACATTGGCCACTGAGATGGAGTATTTCTACTGGTGAGCTGAGAAGTTATTTTTTGCCTAGAGTTAAAGCCTTTTGAATTATGCCTGTGAATTTCTGCTAATGTTCAATTTCAGGGGACAGAGCAGCATGACAGTTAAGTTAAAACATGTTAAAATCTTGCTCTAGTTAGGTGTTAGCTTTCTTCATATAGGGCTTAGCTATTTTAATGCAGATTTACATGCAGCATATACATTTATGTAATATGAGCACTGAAATGACATTTCCTGAGTTTATGTCTTAGCTCTACCCTGTGTAAACTTTGTGATTGACTTCTAAGCCTCAGTTTCCTCACCTGTAAGATAGAATAGTAGCTGTACCTACCTTATAAGTAGGATTCAATGAGAACAGTGCCTAGCATATGTTAAGTACACAAATAGATTAGTTAGCAATTATTAATACTGTCACTGAATCCCAGGACAGGACCAGATGATGTAAGGGATAAAGCAGACCATACTGTTGATTCCATTTTGTTAAATTATTTCCTGGCCTCGACCCTTTCCAGTAGACAGAGGCCTGAGTCTTGAGGACAGGTTATGGGAAGGAGATGTCTGATGTGACCCCTGGCACTTTCCTCTCTTGTCCCTTCTTCCCTGTAGCACAAGGCTCTGCAGGAGCCTGGAGAAGGTGATCTCTGAAAGGAGGGAATGGGCAGTGGGGCTTGGCATGGAGCTGGCTGCTCTGTTCTCACCCGTCTCTTGTATCCTCAACAACCACACAGGAGATCTGTCTGTCCGACTCTCCCGTGGTGATGACCTTAGTGGATGGGCCAGCTGAAGAGAGTGACAATCTCATCTGTGTGGCTTATCGACACCAGTTTGATGTGGTGAACGAGAGCACAGGAGAAGCCTTCAGGCTCCACCACGTGGAGGCCAACAGGGTAAGCCAGCGGTTGTGGGGACAAGTGGGAATCAGAAAAGACTAATCATCGTTGTGTCTTCTAACCCTGAGATGCCATGATTTGGATTTCTTTAAAGTTATGTACTATTCATCACATCAGTATTGTGTGATTCACTATTTAGACTGAGCTATGTGAAGTTGCCATTTTTATAGCTCAGAATGGTTCTATCTATTATCATGTGACTGCCCTGTTTAGTTTTCAGATCTTTCCTTGCCACTCCATCCTTCCGAATAAAAGAGACATGAAGAGGCCAAGCGCAGTGGCTCACGCCTGTAATCCCAGCACTTTGGGAGGCCAAGGCAGGAGGATTGCCTGAGCCCAGGAGTTCGAGACCGGTCTGGGCAACATGGCAAGACCTTGTCTGTATTTAAAATTAAAAAAAAAAAAAAAAAACACATGAAGAGTCAAAATTTTGACTGAATATAATAACTAAATAAGTGAGAGCATTTGTTAGATGATTTGTCCTGGGAGGGCCCTTGGAGAATAAGCTTGACCTCTTGAGGGGCTGCAGACTCTCATTTTGGGGACTGGGTGACCAGAGTGGGTACAGCACCCTCCCTACCCCCTTAAAAGCCCAGTAGAAAAGGAAGAAGGGGTGGAAACCCATTAGGAGAGAGTGAGTGGGCAGATCTGCCCTAAGAGTCTACACCCCTGGCCTGATGCACAGAGAACAAGGATGTCCTAGTGTGGCACAAAATCTAGGGCCACCCAAAGCTGCACTCATATTCTAAAGGTAACTGTGTGGGGTTTAAACCTTGGCGCCCACTGGACAGTGGTGAGCACTCACCACCCTGAGGCCTGGCAGCCTGTCACTGGCGATCGTTCAACACTGACACTGACATTAGCAGATCACAGAGCTCTTCAGCCCATGTATCTCTATGAGGCAGGACAAGGCCCACTGTCAGTGAGCCATTGAGGTTTGCATCATGCAGTGCAAGCCAGTATTCTGGCCTAGGTACTGAGGAAACCACAGAATGGGGATGTCAGCTCCAGGGAGACTGTAGTTCCTAGTGAGGGCTTCTGGACCCACAGGCTACCTCCAGTCCTGTTCAGCTAAATCAAAGAGACTGCGGAATTCTTCCAATTATGCTTTACAATTTGTATTAATTGTAAATATGCTCCATATAAATATTCATTAAAATTGCTAATTACTATTTTAGGAAGACTTAAGACCTAATTAGAGCAAGATTTTAAGAAACAGAAAAATCAGAAATAGAAAAATCTAGATGTAATTAGGAGACCTTCTTGTCTTTAGCTGTTATTGATCACAGAGTGGTCTGTCATTTCTCTTATCTATATTGGTGGTGACCAGACTTGTCTGCAATTGGAGTCATCTGAGAAATTTGAAAAGCTACTACTGTCTGTGTTGCTCCTCCAGGGATTTCCTGGGTCTGGAGTGTGGCATGGGTTTGGGTATGTTTAAATAGTCCCCAGATAATTTTAATATTTAGCCAAGTTGGGAATCCCTGGTATATTTCATTGCTTTGCAGCCCTGGCTGTCATCCCTTGGAGAGCTTTAAAAAGATCAGTGCTGACCCTAGGCCAAGCCAATTATATCAGAATCCGGAGGTGTGTGGTACTTGGGAGCCAATATTTTTTAAGTCTGCCCTCAGGTGATACTAATACAGACCTAGGAGAAGGAGTGGGTCCTGAAACTTCCTAATTTAAAGCTGGGAGGAATGTCACCCACTCCCCCCACCCCCGCACCCCCCACTGCCTGGGCATCCCTGGACCAGCATGTCTTCCCACCCAGACTTCTGAGGAGCAGGGGCCCTGGTTTGTCCTTTAAAAGTTCTCACCCCCTTGGCCAGGCGCAATGACTCACACCTGTAATCCCAGCACTTTGGGAGGCCGAGGCGGGTGGATCTCCTGAGGTCAGGAGTTCGAGACCAGCCTGGCCAACATGATGAAACCCCATCTCTACTAAATATACAAAAATTAGCCGGGCCTGGTGGCACGCACCTGTAATCCCAGCTACTCGGGAAGCTGAGGAAGGAGCATCACTTGAAACCAGGAGGCGGAGGTTGCAGTGAGCCAAGATTGTGCCACTGCACTCCAGCCTGGCGACAGAGTGAGACTCTGTCTCAAAAAAAAAAAAAAAAAAAAAAAAAAAAAAAAAAAAAAGAGAAGTTCTCACCACCTTCTTCCTTCTCAAAACTGTGTGAGCAGCCAAACAAAGCAGAAATGCCGTGGTGCAGCAGGTCCTTGTTTAATCAGTCCTTTTCCTGACAACTAGTTTCTTAAGACTTAGCCAGCTTTTGGTAGTGGAAAAGTCCTCACCTCATTTTGGAGAAACTTTCTGACAAGTTCTATTTTAAAAAAAATCATGCTTAAGTGGCTGAAAATTGTGCAGTTTACTTACTCATCAGGGTAGCTATAGAGAAAAAATCATTTTATTAAATTTATTTTATATGATCTTTTTATTATTTACCTATATTTAATGTCCTATAATTCAGTATAGGATTTCTTTTTCCATGATTTGTAAAGACCCTGGATAAATGGGGTTAAGAACCATTTTCTTTGATGACTTCTGTGTTTTGTTTTTTGGATGACTGTCAGGAATGACTCTCAAGTTTTCTGTCCTTTCTTCAATGTGCTTTTTAAAAGACAAATATACATTGGGAGGCTGAGACGGGCGGATCACGAGGTCAGGAGATCGAGACCATCCTGGCTAACCCGGTGAAACCTCATCTCTGCTAAAAAATACAAAACTAGGCCGGGTGCGGTGGCTCAAGCCTGTAATCCCAGCACTTTGGGAGGCCGAGACGGGCGGATCACAAGGCCAGGAGATGGAGACCATCCTGGCTAACACGGTGAAACCCCGTCTCTACTAAAAAATATAAAAACCTAGCCGGGCGAGGTGGCGGGCGCCTGTAGTCCCAGCTACTCGGGAGGCTGAGGCAGGAAAATGGCGTGAACCCGGGAGGCGGAGCTTGCAGTGAGCTGAGATCCGGCCACTGCACTCCAGCCTGGGCGACAGAGCGGGACTCTCTCTCAAAAAAAACAAAAAAGACAAATATACAAAGTTTTTTCCTAAGAGAAAAAAAAATTATTTTTATTTTATTTACTGAGACGGAGTCTCATTCTGTCGCCCAGGCTGGAGTGCAGTGGTGTGATCTTGGCTCACTGCAACCTCCAACTCCCTGGTTCATGCGGTTCTCCTGCCTCAGCCTCACGAGTAGCTGAAATTACTGGCACGGCCACCCTGCCCAGCTAAGTTTTGTATTTTTAATAGAGACAGGGTTTTTCACCATGTTGGCCAGGATGGTCTCAATCTCCTGACCTTGTGATCCTCCCGCCTCCGCCTCCCAAAGTGGTAGGATTACAGGTGTGAACCACTGCACCCGGCCAAGAAAATAAAAATTTTAAGGAAAAAAAAAAACCTTTCCTAGTTCCTGGCTCTGAGAGGATCAGCGTGCACAGCCCTCCCGTGGTAGAATGGTGACTGCACGGCTCCCAGCAGGCACAGGTGCTTAGTCCGATGCACTCACTCATCTTTCAGGGAGTGTACTGTCTGACTGGGGAGATGAGCCCTAAGAAAATGAAGAAGACAATGAGCTATATGTTTTCTAATAGCTGGTTAGAAATAGGCCTTGTGGGAACAGGACTAGCTTTTTACCAAGATGTTCCTGCAGCTCAGCACCCAGGGCACTGGGGACACAGCCTGGGTCATTGGAATTTCATCTCCATTCCGTCTACACTTACTGCCTGCCTGCCCTGCGGGCACCAGTGTTAACTGGGCAGGCCTTGCTTCCTGCTGCCATTCCTCCTCTCTTAGGCAGGACCACTTGGTCCCTATTTCAGGCTTCTACCCACCTCGGGTTCTATTACAATCCTAGCGCAAGAGAGGAAATGTTTAAGAAGCACTAAAGCAACGTTCTGAAAGTCACTGTCAACTTCACTGTACCAGTGGGCCTGCTGTGACCCACTGCCGCTGCTCTAGCCACCAGCACTGACCTCGTTCCCAAAACCAAGGGCTCCTCTGGGAGGAACTGCAGGCGTGGTCATGGGATCTGGGTCCCTGGTTTATGGGAGGGCTCAGGTCCTCATCTTGACATCTGCCCAGAATCCAGTGGTTCTCAGCTGGGGGCTGAGCCCAGAAGCACAGGGAGGGCTGAAGGCAGAGCCAGCTAGATGAGGCACAGTTCCCACTTCACTTGTTACAAGTCTGTGTTTTGAATCTTTACAACCACCATATATTATTTGTTATCATTTTAAAATACCAATAAAATGAACTACTTACTACTTTTTTTTTAAGAGAGAGAGAGACAGGGTCTAGCTCTGTCCCAGGCTGGAGTGCAGTGGTGCAATCGTAGTTCAATTCTCCCTCTCTGGCCTACCAAAGCACCGGAATTACCGGCGTGAGCCACCATGCCCAGCCAGAACTACTTATTTTTAATCAAACTTATGAAATAAAGATTTAATGCCTATGTCCTACGCCAGACCTGTCATATCAGGATCTCTAGGAGCAAGAACCCCGCCAGGCCCCTGTCCCAAGGTGGAGACAGACACCTGTATCAAAGCATAAAGTAGGTCTCATTGTGATAAGTGTTAATAAAGGTCTGAATAATAAAGTGCTATGGCATGCCTGAGGAGGAAGTGGTTAAGTCCAAGCCTGTTCCTGAATCCTGGCCCCGGGGCTGAAGCCTGCCACCGCCTGTCCTGAAGCCCAGCTCTCCGAATATTGCCACGTTTGTCTGCCTGTCAGCACAGCGTTGGAGCCCCTTGGTAGACTTACTTGATGCCAAGTACCCCCTGGCGTCTGTGGTCATTGTGCACAGATCTCGGTCTAAAAGGCTGCGTGAACTTCCTCCATACCTGTCATCACTACTACCCTCCCTCACCCCACCCCAAACACACACACAGGCCTTATCTCGAAACTGAAAGGCTGTCTAGTTCCACCTTTCCCACTGCAGTCAACCCTCCCATAATTATAATAATTGTGGCCACCATTGAATGGCCACCTCTGTGTACCAGGCCCTGGGTCAGAGCATGTCATAAGCATTATGTCTTGGAGGGGCTCTTCATTTCTCCTTTTTTTTGAGACAGAGTTTCACTCTTGTCCCCCAGGCTGGAGTGCAATGGCGCGATCTCGGCTCACTGCAACCTCCACCTCCCGGGTTCAAGAGATTCTCCTGCCTCAGCCTCCCAAGTAGCTGGGATTATAGGTGCCCGCGACCACACCTAGTAGAGACGGGGTTTCACCATGCTGGCCAGGCTTGTCTCGAACTCCTGACCTCAGGCCCGCCTTGGCCTCCCAAAGTACTAGGATTACAGGAGTGAGCCACCACGGCTGGCCCATTTCTCCATTTTTATTGAAAAGGAAACTGAAGTCAGAAAGAAGAAGTCACTTATTTACCCCAGAGCACACAGCTAGTAAGTGGCAGAGGCAGGACTTGGATCCCAGCTGGCTGACTCCAGAGACCGTGTTCCCACAGCTGGTGGGGATGGCAGGTCCAGCCACAAAGCTGGTAGCTCTTGGCCCCTCCTGTGGAGAAGCTCCCAGTCTGGCAGAGCAGACAGGGTGCAGCACGAAGCCTCTAGCTGAGATAGTGAAGTAACACTGACATGTACACGGGCATCTGAGGAGGAAGTGAATCTAGGTCAAAGTGGTGGAGCCAGGAAGCCTCCTTTCTGGGGTCAGAGGGTACTCAAGGACTGTCCTTCATGTAATATACCCTTTGGTGCTGGTTCCTTATCTAAATAATGATATCAGCCAACATGAGCATTTACCAAGCTCCAGGCCCTGTGCCAGGTGCTTAGATAAGTTGCCTCCTGGAGTCCTCAAGCCAGTAGGCCTAGATATTCTTATTTTCTACCATCTTACAAATGAAGAAACTGAAGGTCCGAGAGGGGAAACAACCGGCGTGAGTGTGCACGCCTCTGAAGTGATGGAGCTGGGACTTCATTTACTCCCTTGTCCATCCGATGAGTTTGTTCTGTGCCTGCCACCCACCAGACCCTGATCTGGATGCTGAGGGGCCAGCAGTGAGCAGCACAGACAGGCCTTTGTGTCATGAGCCTTAGATCTCATGGGGAGGGGAGCCACAGGGAAAAAACAGACAAGAGAGCACCAGAGGGTGAGGCACGCTCTGCAGAGAGCCTAAAACACGGGGCATGATAGGAGCCATGGGAATTATTTCGGGTTTGACAACCCCCAGCTCTCTCCAATGCCAGTGCTGGAGCTCTTGGCCACTGGTCCTCACTGTCACTCCCCGCTGAGCTCCTGCAACTTTTGCTTGAGGCATTTGCCCCATTATACCTTGTTTTGTGTACTTATGTGCTTTTCTGTTTTTTTTTTTTTTTCTTAAGGGGTGGAACCTCACCTTATTCCTTATTCTTTTCTGTATCCTAATGGCACCGAGTACAGTGCCAGATAATGACAGATGGGAGAGAACTGGGGGTTCCAGTGGAAGAGGCACCCAAGCCCAGGCAGTGGCACTGGCTAAGGATGGCCAGTTGGGGCATTGGCACCATAATGAGACCATTTAGAGGTGAGGGCTGTGTTCTGGTGACACCAGTGAAGAGGAGGGTCAGTCAGTGCAGGGTCAGTGGGAGGAGCACAGTGTGGATGGAAGGGCTGGGAAAGGGGAGCCAGCAGGAGCCCACAGCATGGTGCTTCTGCGGGCAGGTCAGGGCTTAGCCTAGAACAGCAGCAGGGGCACAAAAAAGACACCTGAGAAAGTGTGTGAAGAGGCTGCTGCTGGACTTGGGTTGGAGGTGGCTCTGAGACTTTGAGAATAGATATGCTAACAAAAAGGAGGAGGTTTAGAAGGAAAGCTGGTTGTGTGGGAGATAAAAAGCCAATAGCCTTCATTGAGTGCTCATGATGCATGAGGCCCTGTGCTAAAATCTCTGCCTTGTCTCACTGAATTCCCATTACAATCCAGCAAGGTCAGTGTTCTCATTATGCCTGCTTTACAGACAAAGACCTAAGGCCAGAGGCTAAGCCATTTGCCACACACCACAGAGGCAGTAACTGGCCTAGACAGGGCTTGATCTCCCGTCTGTCTGCCCAGTCTGTGCCCCTCCAATCCCCCCACCCCCAACCCACTACCTCCTGCTTTTAATGACTTGGATGTGGAATCAGTTGCATCTGAGAACAAATGATATAGTCTAGGGGCTGCAGCCCTGGGGAGAATGTGTGCCTGAGCCCGTGGTTTAGGGTTTTGAGCACAAAGCAAAATTTGGAGCTATGAAAGTGAGGTTTTGCTAAGGAGAGAAGAGCCAAGAAATTGAAGAATAATCTGAGGTGGGAGAGAGGGCAGGAGGCAGAAGATGTCACCCGTCAGAGGCTGCAGAGGACAGGATGGACAGATGAGCAGTGGCCAAGGCCTTCGGTTGGGGAGAGGGAGATCTTGGCTGAGCCCAGAGGGTGGTTTTCCTGGAAGCACGGGAGGCCAGGCTCTAAGGGTTGAGAATACAAGTGAGGAAGTGAAAGGAGCAGGAGGCTCTTAGAGGGCTGGAATTTTGAAAATCAAGAAGGACCAAGGACGCCATCAGGTTGAGTGCCCTCCTCTCAAATGCAGAAACTGAGGCCCAGAGAGAGGAGTTTGCCCCAGACCACAGAACTAAGTGTTCTGACACCCTTTTCATTGCACCATGCTGCCTCTCTTGACATGAAGAACAGAGAAAGAATAGAAGTGTGAAGACATGCCGTGGCGATTTTAAGTTACACAGGCTTTATCTGTTGGAGGCAGAAGGATTGCCTCACTAGAGGTACGAGAGCAGTAAGGTTGGAAGAGAACCGGAATCTTAGTTCAGATGTTGGCTGTGGCGTGTACCAGCCAGGAGACTTAAGTGACTTCACCCTGAGCCTCACTTTCATCTTCCGTAAAATGATAATTATACCATAATGCCAATAATATTAGGTTGATACAAAAGTAATTGCGGTTTTTGCCATTGGAAATAATTACTTTTGCACCAGCCTAGTACTTTCTGGGTTAATGTGAGAGTGAAATGAACAACTCATGTGAAAATGCTCTGGGAGCTGGAGCACAACATATAAACCTGAGGCATTTCAATAGAGAGAGGAGACATACCAAACACAGAGCTTCTCAACAGCTATGAAAAGATGATGAGGCAGTCCCAGAGAAGAAAGAATGGAGAGACTTTTCTTTCCTTTTTCTTTTCTTTTCTTTTCTTTCTCACCTCCATTGTATTATAATCCTAGCCCCCGATGTGCACTGTGGGTGCTGGTGGGGCAGACATGACCCCATGGCACCTGCATCACAGAGGGCCACGGCCCCCGCAAACGCTCACAACTTGAAAAAGTCTTTTCACAGGGTCAGCATCCAGCCTGCCCACTACCGTTGCCCATTATCATTGCAGGTTAATTTTGTTGCAGCTATTGATGTGTACGAAGATGGAGAAGCTGGTTTGCTGTTGTGTTACAACTGTAAGTTAAGGATGTGCTTTTATCTTTATTTGCTAAAATGGACTGTTTTTTTTCTGGGCAATTTAAAAAGATTGTCCTTAGATTTACTCAGTGTATCATTCGTGGGTTTGTAATTGCCTTCCAGGAAGGAACGGAAAAATACCTTCTGCACACCAGGCCTCTTGGTGACACAGTGCAAGAACTGGTGCTTGTGGTGCTATTTCCAGGATGCGCCGGTGATGACAGTGGCTTCCAGTTAGGGGGCCCTTACTGTGTGCCAGGTGCTGTGCTCAGTATGCTGTGGTCATTGTCTCACTTGATTCTCACAATGAATGCCTGCAGCAGGCTCGGTTATTATCCCCAGTTTAGAGATGAGGCAACTGAGGCCTCGAGAGGTGAACTCATTCAAGGTCTTGTGGCTACTAAGCAGCAGGGCCAGGGTTTGCATCTGGTGCTGTCTTGACTCCAGCACCCACAATTTTAACTAACCACTGTCACTATTCTATATTTTGCTGTTTCTCAGGTATTAATGAAATCAGCCTCAACCCAGGGTATCTGGCCTCAGTTGGGTTAGTTTGGATTAGGTGGCAGGGTAGGTGTTGGGCAGACCAAAGGTATCAAATAGTATCTTTAAGAATTTTCAGCATTTCAGGCCGGGCGCGGTGGCTCAAGCCTGTAATCCCAGCACTTTGGGAGGCCGAGACGGGCGAATCACGAGGTCAGGAGATCGAGACCATCCTGGCTAACACGGTGAAACCCCGTCTCTACTAAAAAAAATACAAAAAACTAGCCAGGCGAGGTGGCGGGCGCCTGTAGTCCCAGCTACTCGGGAGGCTGAGGCAGGAGAATGGCGTAAACCCGGGAGGCGGAGCTTGCAGTGAGCTGAGATCTGGCCACTGCACTCCAGCCTGGACGACAGAGCCAGACTCCGTCTCAAAAAAAAAAAAAAAAAAAAAAAAGAATTTTCAGCATTTCAGAAGCTAATATTATAATACATTTTCATAAAAAGGATTTTTTAAGGCTAAAAGAAAAGAAGTAAGCTATTTTCCTGGATAAAGCTGCCCAATCTAACAAGACATAAAACATGTTTTTCAGCCTAGGATTTTATCAATTTAGAGTGACGATGCTGGGTCAGATGTTTTGATTAATCTTTGATTAATAAATATAAGAAAGCTAATTATTAGTAGAGAAGGTTGTTTTATAAACATCATCTTTCAAAATTAGAGATTTATGGGGAATAAGGAGAAGGTGATTGAACCTCTTCAACAATAATTGCTCTTTGGGGACATTTTATGCACAGAGCTGTGCACCCTCCTCAGAACAGCGGGTCTTTAATGGCCCATGTGATGAGAAGGGCCCCATTAAGGCAGCAGGAACGAGCCACTCTCCCACACCCCGCGGGCCAGGCCGCCACTGCTGCCGGTGCCCTGAGTCTCCAGATTTATGGGGACAAAGAGGGGTTGGGACTGCGTGGTAGAAGTCACTTCTGTAAGAAATTCATCTTTTTAAAGTATGCTCTTTTTACTTTATTGAGACATCTATGAGAATAACTTGTGGCAGAATGTTTTAAAAACTGATTTGGATTTTTTTAATCCTTTAACCGTGTGAAAGGCTGGAAGGGATTTTAGGTGGAAGAGAAGTTAAGAACAGAAAAATAGAGCAGGTTTTTAGAGAGGGAGAATTAACCCCAAACAAAAGAGGGCATGGAAACAAATGTGGATGCCGTGGGCTCTGTGCCAGACTTGTCAGTGCTGACTGGAACAGGCCAGGCTCCTCACTCAGTGGCTGCTGCATCAGCTGTGGTTCCCGCAGCCTCTGGGTCTCACGGAGCCCTTCCTCGGAAGTTCCATTTCCCATAGCTTTACTCATCTTCCAGCTTCAGGCTCTGACTTCGTCTCAGGATGGGATCAGTGTGTGTCTGTTTTCATAGATCCACTACATCAGAAGTATCTTGACATCTCTGTATCTTTACATCCCAAGGTCAAGGCCCTGGCAACCTCAGAGGTTCCCATAGCCTCAGTCTTCCCCAAACCATGCCACTTCCTCCCGTTTCTTTGGGTCAGAAATCTGGCTTTTGTTTTCTATATTTCCTTTTCCCAAGACATTGGGAGGCATCTGGTGAACAACCCCAATAAAACCAGTTGTCTCTCCCCACGGTCGTCCAGGTCACTTCTCTAACTCATTCCTTCACACACAGCACATGTGAAATTTGCCTGTTTAGTCTATGTTCTTGACTTGATCACAGACGCCTGAACAATAAAGGCCCTTTTCAACAAAGTGCTGCAGAATGGTAATGCTCTCCCCAAAATTTGAAACCAATTTGTATCATTGAAGTTTTTTTCTGTATTAAAAAACAAAGCAAAATTAAAAATAAATTTTAAGTGGAGGAATTTTTATCTCAGATATGTTAAAGTTGAAAATATTTTATAATGGAGATTGCAACTTTCAGTTACATGTTATTTGAAAAAATATATTCACATGCTAAACTTTAGGGGAAAAATAGTATAAATAGTTCAATATGCTACTAATATTGGGTTTTTTAAATAATTAAAACTCTATTTTTATTACCAGAGTCCGTCTTTAACTGTTTAAAAAGACAAAAAAAACTTGGCCCTGCCCTTAGCACCCGGTAATCATTCACCTTTAATGCAAGTAATTTCAGTGCTAAGGGTCAACTCTTTTGTTTGCTTACGATGCTTTAAAGGTAATCATGCCAGGAAAACTAGAAAAGCTCGCCTAAGTGCCCCTTGTTTTTGATGCGATCATATTTAACCTCACTAAGTCTTCACTTCCAGATAAGTAATAGTAAGAATACAAAACCTGCTTCTCACAACTGTTGTGAGGACTAAGCAGGATGATACCAGTAAAGCCCATAATACATTGCCTGACATGACAAGATTTTATTTTTCCACTATTTATTCCAGAATCATCAGAGTATTTATTCAGAACTCAGTTTTTTTAACCTTCATAGACTTTCTTCTTTTTTTTTTATTTTTATTTTTTATTATACTTTGAGTTCTAGGGTACATGTGCACAACCTGCAGGTTTGTTACATATGTATACTTGCACCATGTTGGTGTGCTGCACCCATCAACTTGTCAGCACCCATCAACTCATCATTTACATCAGGTATAACTCCCAATGCAATCCCTCCCCCCTTCCCCCTCCCCATGATAGGCCCCGGTGTGTGATGTTCCCCTTCCCGAGTCCAAGTGATCTCATTGTTCAGTTCCCACCTATGAGTGAGAACATGCGGTGTTTGGTTTTCTGTTCTTGAGATAGTTTGCTAAGAATGATGGTTTCCAGCTGCATCCATGTCCCTACAAAGGACACAAACTCATCCTTTTTTATGGCTGCATAGTATTCCATGGTGTATATGTGCCACATTTTCTTAATTCAGTCTGTCACCGATGGACATTTGGGTTGATCCCAAGTCTTTGCTATTGTGAATAGTGCCGCAATAAACATACGTGTGCATGTGTCTTTATAGCAGCATGATTTATAATCCTTTGGGTATATACCCAGTAATGGGATGGCTGGGTCATATGGTACATCTAGTTCTAGATCCTTGAGGAATCGCCATACTGTTTTCCATCATGGTTGAACTAGTTTACAATCCCACCAACAGTGTAAAAGTGTTCCTATTTCTCCACATCCTCTCCAGCACCTGTTGTTTCCTGACTTTTGAATGATCGCCATTCTAACTGGTGTGAGATGGTATCTCATTGTGGTTTTGATTTGCATTTCTCTGATGGCCAGTAATGATGAGCATTTTTTCATGTGTCTGTTGGCTGTATGAATGTCTTCTTTTGAGAACTGTCTGTTCATATCCTTTGCCCACTTTTTGATGGGGTTGTTTGTTTTTTTCTTGTAAATTTGTTTGAGTTCTTTGTAGGTTCTGGATATTAGCCCTTTGTCAGATGAGTAGATTGCAAAAATTTTCTCCCATTCTGTAGGTTGCCTGTTCACTCTGATGGTAGTTTCTTTTGCTGTGCAGAAGCTCTTTAGTTTAATGAGATCCCATTTGTCAATTTTGGCTTTTGCTGCCGTTGCTTTTGGTGTTTTAGACATGAAGTCTTTGCCCATGCCTATGTCCTGAATGGTACTACCTAGGTTTTCCTCTAGGATTTTTATGGTATTAGGTCTAACATTTAAGTCTCTAATCCATCTTGAATTAATTTTCGTATAAGGAGTAAGGAAAGGATCCAGTTTCAGCTTTCTACTTATGGCTAGCCAATTTTCTCAGCAATGGCCATACTGCCCAAGGTTATTTATAGATTCAATGCCATCCCCATCAAGCTACCAATGACTTTCTTCACAGAATTGGAAAAAACTGCTTTAAAGTTCATACGGAACCAAAAAAGAGCCCGCATCTCCAAGACAATCCTAAGTCAAAAGAACAAAGGTGGAGGCATCACGCTACCTGACTTCAAACTATACTACAAGGCTACAGTAACCAAAACAGCATGGTACTGGTACCAAAACAGAGATATAGACCAATGGAACAGAACAGAGTCCTCAGAAATATTACCACACATCTACAGCCATCTGATCTTTGACAAACCTGAGAGAAACAAGAAATGGGGAAAGGATTCCCTATCTTCTTTTATTTTTTGAGGTGGAGTTTCACTCTTGTTGCCCAGGCTGGAGTGTAGTGGCATGATCTCGGCTCACTGCAACCTCTGCCTCCCAGGTTCAAGCGTTTCTCCTGCCTCAGCCTCCTAAATAACAAAGAGGCAACAGGATCCACAAGGGTGAAGAGGAACATTCTGGCTGCTGTGGGGAATTCGCTGAAGGGGTAGGGGCAGGGAGACCGGGGAGAAGGCGACTGCGTATGTCTGATGAGAGGACAGCAGCAGGACCAGAACTGCAGCAGTGGAGATGCTGAGAAGGTCAGGTCCGAAATACATTTCTTTCTTTTTTTTTTTTTTTTTCCGGATAGAGTCTAGCTCTGTCGCCCAGGCTGGAGTGCAGTGGCGCAATCTTGGCTCACTGCAACCTCTGCCTCCCGAGTTCAAGCG